AAAAATTGTTTGCCACAAATGCCAACCACGTCTTGACTTTAAACGCATATATGTTACCTATACAAAAAACACTAATTCTTCAATATGTTTAAAGAACTTGCAGGACGTAATGCCTGTGTCAGAATCAGAACGACAATCAAGACAACTGCATTTCGGAATTTATCCAAGTAGCCAGCTATAAGTTGACAATAAAAGTGGTTATTAAGTGCCTACTGGATGAATAAACTTGATTGATTACTTGGAATAAATTGATTTGTCAAATATTCTTCCAGTGGTCAACTTCAGAAAAAACACAAAACACTATATAAAGCATATTTATCTGGAAAATGACAAATTTCAATAGAAATTAGTTAAGCGTCCATGACATGATGTAAAGAAGGTGATCCAAGATTCCCATCTTGCCTGACATTCTAGAAACACTTAAAAAATGAGACCTCTATCAATTGACAAACTTTGGACCCTAGCTTTGGCTTTTTTCATCAAGTAGAGGCGGGAAAGTGGATAATAAAGGGTGAACATTGCAAACAAAGGAGGACCTGAACCAGGTAATGACGATCATGCAATCGTCCGGAACAAAAGTGAAATTTTCAAGATCAAACTTCCGGTCTAAATAAATTAAGTACCTTACTGGTCCAACTAAATGAAATTTAGCAAAGCAGGAATTAAGGTATCTTACTGTACCTCTGTAGCCCATTTATTAAGTACCTGCCCATTCAAAACAATCCATTTCTAACAGGTGCAGTACCACGGTAAGGTACAATATACCATAGTATGCCCCTGGAATAATAATAATGAAAAAAGTATTCATTCAGGAAAATAATGGTATCTTTGGCATACCACTACCATGTATCAATATGGTTCTGACATATTGGCCAGCATGGTCAATCCATTTTGGTATCTAAATCATAGCTACAGGGCATAGAACATGACATAAGTATATAGTGTCATCTGCCGCTCACCATGATGCGGGTAAGCATAATCTACCACAGCAAGATATGTCATGGCATACTGATGATGTCAGTATCAAGCAATAAACATACAAATGGCACGATATTGGAGAAAAATTATATAAAGGAAAGAGTTCAAGCAGAAATATTAACCCACAGATCAGAAAGTGAGACTTCTTTGACAAGCAATATTTTTCAGCTTGCAATCGTCTTTTGAGAAAGACATGATTCTCTACAGAAGCTACCAGGTAGCTAGATGCATTGAATTCTCAGTATATTTTACCAACCCTCCCAAAATAATAATAACAGAAAAAAGTTTTCATTGTAAAGAAAATTACCGAGAAAGCGGTATTTCCAGAAGATCCAGAAAACCAGTCCATTGGCTAAATATGATACTTTTGGCACCTAAAGAGCGAAGTTTGTCTAATTCCTGAAGGAGAACAGAAACCTTTGAAGATTCAACCCAGTTCTTCTCAACATCAATTCGAAAACGACGGTCAGTCGGAGCAGTAATAAGATCCTGCTTATTTATAATTTTCCTGCATTCACCACAGATAGTAAACAATATTATTGGGCTAGGTTGCTGAGGAGAAAGTTATAACTGCGTTCCTTTGACTACTACATACAAGAGCATGGGCTACGGAAGATACCTACAAACAGGACAAAGACCACTCAAGGCACTTCGCCAGCTAGCGAAGAGGCACTCTCGGCATAAACGGTGTGCACACGGTGTCAATACTGCATCTTCATAAGCTTCTAAACAAATTGGACACTCTCCTTCCTCTCCTTTACGCAGCTCTTCCACAACCTCTTTAATGTATGCCTTAGAAGGGACAGCACAGGTATCTCCATTACCAGCATCTTTACCACCTTTCAGAAAATGTTTTGCAAGTTTGTTGAGGTCTGAGAACTCTTGTGTATCACCTCGACTGAGTTTCATCACAGAAGCAATATAAACTCTCTTTTTATGACACAAGTAACAAAGAACTTTGGAAAGGATAACCAATCAAAGGCTAATGAACAGATGGAAAGCAGTTCGAATGATCATACAATCAGTGCAATAACAATCAAAGGTGACCACCACGATAAAAGGAACAAATAAAAATACATTACAAATACAAGATAAAAGGAACAAACAAAAATACATGTACATAGAACAAGTACCCGAACACCAACAATCATATGAACTAGGAATCTTTCAATCGTTACTTCAGGTAAATGTGTAATGGCATAAAACAGAAGATCCGACTTACTTCTCTAGTAAAGATTGATGCATATTTCATAAATACTTAATGAAACCTGCACATAAATTGCCTCATAGAATACAGAGAAAAGATCAAGCATGCAACTATCATTCTTAGCGAGCATTATTTGCAAATGTAACAAATTTATGAACTTCAGATTTCGATGCGTATTACATATTGGCATTCACAACAGTCCATGATGGTTAACAAACAAAAAAATCTACATCACTAACTAGAGTTTAAATGCTTAATAAAAGTATCAAATTCATAAACCAATTAAAAGATGAAGTGTTTAATGCAGTTACCAAGCATTGACTATTTTGTTACTTTAACAAGGAAATGAACATCCTGGTGCATTTTATGTGCGTACAATTGCGATGTTGATTGACCCATTGCTGAATTTAAAGCAAGCTAATAATGATGTTATAAATCAAATTCACTAATATATTACATAGATCTTTATTTCCAAACAATAAAAGCAAATTTGCACCGAAAATACACGTGATATACACCCAATGTGGCAAATACCAGACATACACCAGATACGGCAAAACCATAAAAGCAAGTACCGAACAAGGCTTTTCATCAAAATTGGCAGAAACAATGAGAAGGAAAGAAGCAGAGTAAAGCGAATAAAGCTACTTCTGCTTGTAAAACTTAGCTTATAGCCTCAGGTACTAATCCATCAGGTGACTTGTAGTGTTTCATAAATGATGGTGCGATTCAGATCCACTTGTTTATCCTCCATCGACAAATTCCCCTCTCCCTAATGTACTGTTTATCTGTCAGGTGACTTGCACTACCGCATTAGTGTGGTAAATGAAGTTATAATTCTGGTCCACTTGTCCACCCTCAGTCTATATATTCCTCTCTTCCACATGCATTGCTTATATAGGCATTATGTAACAATAATATGGGTCTGCATATATCAATTTTAATAGTATTTTGATCCTTTATCTAGTCCAGATAAACCCAGAATTCCATAACTAAGGGTTCGATAAAGTGGATTAGGTTTATATCCTTACTTATCCAACTAATTTGCACCTATAATAATTTAATTATTATACAACTATCTTCTAGCAACTTTAACTAAGTTTTCTGTTTGTTCCGTGGATGGTGAAATGTATTTTATGAATTAGAAAGGGTCGAATGAGGATTTTAAAATGGTTGCAAGGTGCATTCAAGGGGAAAGAATGGTATCAAACTCTAAAGCTTGGGAATCACCAGCATGAAGCAAATCTAAGTACTCAAGGCAAACCAGACAAATTGATGAAATAGGTAAGATATTATATGACTAATGCATTTAGTTTTATACCTCATGACAAGGAAGGGATGGTCGCAACACTGCCGAAGGCGTAAAAGCAACTCCAAAATTGAAGCATAATTGTGAAGAACCCGCCCTTGCTCCACAAACATATCAAACTTTACCTGGGCAAAAGCCTCAAAAGTGATGTCAATATTTGCATTATAGCGACTTTACCAAGAAGCATTTAAAGCGCAAAAAAAGAAATGATAGTTGCACCTTAGATCTCTTAAAAAGAGCCTCATAGAAGTCCTTCTCAGCTGCTGACAGCTCACAGTAAAGGACTTCAACTTGTGCAGGAGGAAGCACGAGAATTGGCCTGCAACAAGAATTACAGGTAATAAGACCGTGAGACTGCATAAGAAAGGTTCATAGATTTAGTATATGAACTAGCCTGCCTTCTGCATCTGTGCTCGATTTTGTCCTTCTTAACATTATTGGCCTTAAAATGGACTGCACCAGTTTTAATCCACGTTCATCACCTTCCTCATAAGGCTTTTGTATAAGTTTATACCACCTTTAAGTAAAAAAGAAAATATGAATACACAGAATCGAGATTCTAAAACTAATTACAAATATAATCACTTCAAGGAAAACAAAAGAACCATAGCAAATATGGTTGGCCACCGGAACAGATGCTGACAATTTCATTATTAACATCCATGCCCATATTAAACAAAAATCGAATCATTGCAAAATACTAGTAAAAATAGTACATAATCAAAATATTTATATTCATGAAAAGAAAATAAAGCTCTTCGAAGACGATCTCCTAACTAGCAAATTAATTCAAATAAATTTGGGATCATTCATTGATGACAATCTTGTTCCCAAATCAACTGTCAATTTGCATCCTTGAGTAAAGAGTTTCTTGGCATTAACTTACTATTCAATAATGTTGAAACATGGATTGCAATTTGGTAACCATAATGAACATAAGATTATGACTGTCAAACTCAAATTTCTAGATTTGCTTTTCAAGTAACAATTATCTGTAGTTTCTTTGTCTAACTCCACATGTCCGAATACTTTTTTATGTCTTACCAAGCAAATTCATGAAAAAGTGCTCTTAGTTTGAAATAAATTCTTTATAATAATATATTCAAACATTCTGAGAGACTAGAAAAACCATTTCGTTGGTGATGCCGAGTTCTTCACCATTATTTGGTAACTGTTTCTATAACAGACACGACATTCTAAAGCATTTCATAGGAACAAGTATTTACAAGTTGACAATATTATTCTAACTGATCATCTATCAGAACAGCTTTTTCACATTAAAGTAAGAAAATTATCAATTCTTTATATGCACATGCAATAATTGAGCATGATGATCTACCCTTAGAAGTCCTTTGCATCATTTATTTTTGTTCCCTTTCTTTCCTTTTAAATCACCCATCCGTTACAAATGAAAACAACCTGTGAAACCTGATCAATCCCAGGAAGAGACAGCTGATATATCAAATTCTTCAACAGTTCCCATATAGTAATCCTTGCTTGTCATTCTGCAACCATCCTATTGACATTGTCATCAAATGTGTACTAACCGTTGAGACTTCCTGTCAGAGGCTCGATTTTTCTGTGTTTCAACATCTTACGTACCAAAAAAGGATGCAAAGCAGTACATCCAAACTAAAATTATATCAACACCTATCAGGCCGCAAAGACAAGGCATATCAAATTCTATGCAGCTCAACTCCAAAAAATCTGCACCTCCTTAATAGGAGTTTACCGTCCAGCCTATGATATATGAGAAGTTTCTGCTAGCCATGTACCTTTCACAACAAAACATCATAAAGCATAGTTGTAAGTTCCAATTGAGCTTCAGAGTGTTAAACCTTTCTATGAAACAGTAACATAGTTGTTGAAACTCCTTATCGACAATGTGAAATTCACTTCCAAATCCTTGTGATCAAGGCAAAGAATCAAGAGGGTGAAACAACAGCAAAATAAACTTGATTCTAATGAGAAAACAAAGGATCTTGTACACTGAGACCAAAATTGTTGTAATCCTTCAAGTAAGAATCAATCAATGACGAGTTTAAATCTAGTCTCAAATAAAAAATACAGTGCTGAACAGTAAAAAAACTCAATGATTTAGGCATTCCCCATTCCGTAACTGTGCCGGCAAGATGCTGCACAGAATCCGTATCAGCCAGCACCGGCCATAAATATGCAAGATGAAGTGTTGGTACGCACTTCAACATAACATGAACCCCCATTGCATTCAATAGATTTATTATTAAAAAAACAAAGAATCAGTAAATTAAGAGCCATAGTAAAAGACTAACTATATAAGTGAAACAAAAGAATTAAGACCAAAACAGGAGAAGAGAGAAAGGACCTGCGAAAAGCAAAGAAACATTTAAATACTTGATAAAAAAAAACCTGCTCATATTAACAAGCCCCAGAGATTTATACTTGTCCTTGCCATATTTTAATTTGATAATGAAAGAAAGATAGTACCCTGGACTGAAATTGTATGTGCTAGGGGCATCAGACCTTTCCCTACTAGGTTCTTTTAACCGGACTGCACACTAAGGTGGGTTTGTAAGATAAAAGACTGTGTGGCCAAGTAACTTACGTTCTGCCAACTAGTGCAAGTTATTTGCTGTCTAGGAACACTCGAAAACCTCCAAATTGGCTAAAGATGCTTTATCTCCACACTACTTCCGAAAAACTAAACAAACTCAAATAAGCTGCCAAAATCAGGAGGGGGGATTGACATCAATTATACCAATTTTTGCTGAGAGAAAAAATGAAAGCTACATACTGGCATTTTGCATCAACTGGTCCATAGGACACCAAGAATTGCTTCAAAGCCCAATTTCATAATATTTATGCTAAATTATCAATTCTTTTATTTCTGAGAACTGCCTTGTTTAACTAATGCAATAAGCAGTGTAACCAAAAAAATAAGAAGTTAACAAAAAAATGATATAAAAACCATGGTTCGCCTTACCGGTCTGTACCGGTGTACTGACCAATTGTTTGTATGATATGTACCGAGCTGTATTGAGTCGTATCTAACATACTAACACATGGTATATAGGGGTGTACTGATATACTACCCATACCGGTCCCTTGTCGAACCGATACATACTGTTTGTATCAAGTGATATACTACGGCACGACAAACCTTGATGGAAACAATGTCTACCATTATTTGTAGACCCTATATATGAAAACAAATTGGCAAATATCAATAAATAAAAACACTCCGAGACCGTTTACTATGTAATCGGAACTCAGTAATGTCGTGACTAAGAAAAACTTACAGCCCCCAGTTTCCCCATGGCTCCACTCTCAGAAATCGCAGAAGACTGTATACATCCTCTAAGTTGTTCTGCCATAGAGTATATAAAAATTAATAATCTGCAATAGCAACGCAAATGATGCATGACTTTCTAGTTCCAAGAAGATGACGCAGCAATTAGAACAGCATAACGATTAAGAAACATAATTTTGTTTTGACTCTAAACATAATATCTGAAAGAAATTTTTTAACCAAAAATCAATAGATACAAACATAAAGAGAGTTCATATGTTAGAAATGTTAGTACAAGCAACATAGATTGAAAGTAAGCCACCAACTGGAATCTACAACATATTACTCTGATGGAAAGATTGGCAATCAGTCCACACATAATTAATGGAGGTAGTTAAAAATCACATTAAAAAAACAATCACAGATCATATGCTGTAATGTCATAGTTTCGTATTTGTTCACCTGAATAGGTGTGCCAGTGAGACACCACCTCCTGTCAGCGTTAAGAAATGCAGCAGCCATGGAGACCTGGCTCTTAGATGATTTTACAGTATGAGCTTCATCAAGCACAACCCTGAACCACCTAACTGAGTAAAGTACACCATTTTCTTCAGTACTCTACAGGCAGATGATACAGTTATTAGAAATGTAAATCTGCAAAACATGCCAAAAGAAGTCAATCTCTAACAGGTCTACTACTATTACTTCAGCTGAATATTCTGATGCCAAAACACCATAGGTAGTTAGAACAACATCATTTTGCGCCAAAAACTTTGCATCTTTAGTTCGGCTTTGCCCATAGTGAACATAGACAGTAAGAGATCCTGGATGAGTATGGGTTTCAAGTTCAACCTGCCATTCCATAAAGTGAGACTTTCACTTCCATCAACAGCAAGTAATATAATAATATGTAATAGTCCTGTTATGTTCAAATGGAATGGACAGTCTTACTTACCTTCCACTGGCTTAGTAATGTCATTGGACACACAATTAGATTACCACCTCCTACAAGTGAAGCCTTGGATTTAAACAACTTTCTGAATCCAGTGATGCTTGTTAACTTATTCGAAGTAATTGGAGATTGATCAGACATGTCATTGACTTCATTTGTATCAAGAGAATCCTGGCTTGAAGTGGAAGAAGACGAGCCTCCCTTACCAGAATGGGCAAGGAGAAGGGCTATCGTCATAATGGTCTTCCCTAGTCCCATTGCATCTGCCAAAATCTAAAAAAGGCAAACACGTCAATACAACTACTTGCTGGAAAATCAAGATTAATGTTGGTAAAATTAGATCATTACCCCGCCTCTAGACATATGCAAGGTGCTTGGAAATTCAAGTGTTACATCGCCAGAAAATGCGTTCAGATAAACAACAAATCCCCTCCTAGGGATACCAAAGAACAGTCAACATTTATCTTATATTATAAAGGTAAAAGATGAATTCCATGATCAACATACCTATCCGCAATATGATATGCACTCCAACATGGATGTAGTGTGGTTGCTGCCTCCTTAAAACGTCTTCCTTTTTCAAGCTGTACCATCCAATAAAGAGCTTGCTTTTGGTAAGGACGTAACTCGCACTGCAGACTGTCAGGGGGTATCATTTCCTATGACAGAATAGAGGGAGCGAAAGTAAGGACCATCAATTAGTACAGAGCAGTAAACAAGGCAAACTTGAATTCAAATGAAAGGATTCAAACACTCATAATTACCTCTAGCTGAGAACTATCTGCAATGCCTATAATACTATCCATATCAGTATCTGAGATAGTCTCCTCATTATCTTCGACTTTACTCCCATTGACACATAATTTTCTCAACTTTTCTGAAGGTAAAACTTCTGCAGACACTCCAGACCTGTCCTGTTCAAGCCCTAAAATTAGCAAAAATGTAGCATGAGAAAGATAGGCCAAAATAAGCAATTTGGTGTCTACCTTGAATTCTATGGCCCGCTTCCTAGTGTAGAGATCCTCCGGAGTGAACTCAGCCTGCTTATTTATTAAAACAAAGAAGACACTCAAAAAGAAGAAAGAACAAATTGTAATACGACAAATTGCAAATACCTGTATAGAACCATATTTACTCCCCGAAAAGACATTTTTAAACCTTTCACAGTGAGCACAAAAGTGTATGAAAAATCGTGTGCTTGAAAGTTTTCGTATTAAAACCTAATAAGGGTACATTTATTTTTAATTTCTGCAGAGATGTATGGTATACATCATTAACAAATAGGTGCATGTTTTCACCCATTTGCAGACTACATCAATAGCCTGCAAAGGAAACCATGACAACTTTGCACTAACTAAAATTCGCGGATAGTGACATGATTTAGCAGCATTTCTATAGTATGAGCACCACAAATTCTCACTTATGGAGCACAGCATCAACTATTAATGAACAATTTCAAGTTGAGAGGGGCACATCTACAGGATTGATTTATTCTCATGGTCTATTGTTGACTCCAGTGTTCCAACAATTGATCTACATGACCGCATAAGAGGATCCTGTCATATGCCAAGCTTAAATGGTCTCATAATGCAGACAACGCACACATGTGAATATCCAGCCGCATATGCAATTCAGATAAAAACGAATATACTCTAGCCTATTCAGTCTGTCTCCTCATTACTATAAGTCTAACAGTGTAATATAACAACACATGATTCATGATAATGTCAACTTCATCAATTAAACCTTTATCCATTTCTAAAACAATCTAAAATGAGCAAATATCATCTCATAAGTTCTCAGATTCGTTGTAACATATGTTTACCTATTTAGAATTTAATATGATTATATAATTTCGTATGTATTATTATGATATTAACTACATATGCATTTATACACTGCATTTCCACTATATGGTACCTTGACTACTTGGAGATGAAAGTCACATCTTCTGATATGGAGATTTTTGTTGCTATCTTTGTTAGAAATTAACCTCAACAATTGAAAGCAAAAAACAGTGTTATTGAGGCCATTAGTAAACACTCCATTTTGCTACTGATCCTCATTGAAACTGAAATTCCAAGACTTATTAAATATGAAAAATGTAACATTTGTCTTCTTAAAGCTCGCCTTCTTTTTCAACCATTTACTTTGAAAAAATGCTTTCAATCTATGATTCCACATGAAGATAAAACTGCACCAATTTAAGCCAAATCCCCAGTGAGAACAATAGTAGTTCACCAAGGCCATATCAGCACCAACAAGATATGGTAAAAGCAACAAGAGCCATCTTCGCATGTACTGATGCAGGGATAAGCATTACCTCTTAAGGTACCTAGTGTTTAAGTCAGGATGCTAGAGGGGGCCTCTCTAGTAGAACCTTGACTGTGTATAGTAAAAATTTCACTGTAGGTAACAAGTTCTCATGTTTGAAGTTCGTCCAAGAGGCAGTGAAATAATATATCTACAATAGCTTGTCTCAGTGACATGCACTGCACCGATTTCATATGCTCCTCGACATCTTTTGAAGCTTCCTTGGTTTATGTTGTGGCTATCTGATACAGGCCGGACCACATAACTTCTTTGTATGCTCTGCTTTGTGTGTTCTTTAGTCACTTATCCTTTACTATGTGTAATAGTTACAAGACCCTAGATCTACTAATGCTGCAACAGATACGCCAAGCACAAATACAGATCCAGCACCTGAATCATCAGCAAGTAATGCCAACTATATATTCTAGAAAAGCTCAAAATTTTGATACTTCAAGAAGCTTTAGATAAGGGAACAAAAGAATGATGCAAAACAACTAATACATAAAAAGATAAGTCAATCACATGCAAGAAAACCTATAAATGAAAGTGGAAGAATGAAAACAGTGAGAATTGACTAAGTTGTTATACAAACACAATACACACAGATAACTCACGATTTCCATGTAATTAAACTAGAAAAGCAATTGCACACAATAATAGAAGCAAACCAAAGGCACAAAATGGCACCTTTCTAAAAGGAGTAAGACCAAGTAATCTGAACAGGGATGGAAGTGGATGAACTGATGATTCCTCAGTGGAAATATTTATGGACCTCACTGTGGTTTGTTGATGTTTCTGGATCATAGAGCTATTGATATACACACTGTCACAAGCAAAATTTTAAAAACATATATTAGGAACCCTAGGTGGAAATAACACACATAAGAAAGTCCACAAATGAAAACAAGACGAATGGGTGGGAGTGATTTAGCCATTTAACAAAAGAACCCACTCTTATTGAATGTTAGATCTAGAGCTTGGGTGCTCAAATCATACCTAACAGATAAATGAATAGTATCCATAATGCCAAGGACTTCAGGCACAGATTTACAAAAACCTTCAATTTTAATCTTCTTTGTCCTCACCAGAGGCAAAAGGCAGCGAGCCCATTCATTGGGGATGCGACCAATCTGCATGAATAAACATGTCCATCATCTCACATATGAAAAAAGATCGGTCCAGCATAGATTTTGCTCGACGAAAAATACTAGAGATGTAGAATTGACCTCTACGTGATCCTCAGTAGAGAAGCGAACTATCTCAGAACAAGAAGCCACCGACCGCCCTCTACCGGGAAACCTGGTGGCCGTGGAAGGGGAAGTCGTCTTATTTGCCAACGGGAAGGAGAAGTTCACCTTGTCCCCGGGCTTAATCCGCCTCCCCTTGCAGGTGGAAAGCCCAGAAAGCTCGGTGCTTCCTACGAGCCACCAATCACTTTCTTTGGAACCGGACGATTCCGCAGCAACCCCCCCGTCAGTGTTCCGCTCCGCAGGTAGATCACTCTCCGCGGAAGTGGGAGAACCGGCAGTGACGGGCGCATGATCGGCAGGAGAATCAGCCACAGTGAGGGGATCGAGGTTTCTTCTCCGGGCGCCGGCGCTTCCATCGCCGGGGGTGACGCGGATGCGTGGGGTGTCGAAGATTATGTTGATGGCGGCCGATACGTCGTTGTTGGCCAAGTGGAGAGCACGGATGATGTCCATGTCCGAGAAATCCTGCCCCACCACCGAACGGACGACCGCGATGCCTTCGTCCGTGACCTTATTGACGCCCATCGCGCTCTAACATTCAGCGAACCCCCGTCCCTTCCCCCGCGCAAGAGGAACCCTAACCCTAGAGGAGGATGGAAAAGAACCAAGAAAGCAAGAACGACTACGGTGCGAGGATGGGGAAGAGGGAGGAGCGGGGAAGTGGCGCCGCTTTACTTTCGCGGCTTGCAAGGCGGGATCGAGAACTTTCCCGCCTTGAGCTGATGTAGGGCTTCATAATGACCGGTCCTCCCCAATCTCTCCGATCGACACAACGCTCAAGCGAGCCACACTCGTCCCCTTGATTTGTTGAGCAGCATATCCCTGGGTCTTTAAGACTCGTGATTGCTTGATTACAAACATGTTGAACTGCGTTACACGAATGAACATGGTAGATCGTGAAAAATGATTTATCGAATGGCTTGGTTACGTCATACGTGAAAGAATATATCGCATAATATATAGTCGGGATCAAATGAATGCAGATGCCATGTGTAAACCTGATTAAAGGTAAACCATCATTAAAGGCAAAATTAAGTCATGCATCATTAAAGGTAAAACAAAGTAACCAATACAATTAAGACAAGAGATTACGTCATTGTCGTGCTAAAATTTGGGTGGGTCTCATAGACATAATAATTTCCTTCTTTTTCAAAATAAAATAATATATACATAATACATTTTAAATAATTGTATATAACTTAAGCACATACGAAGCTATAAAATAAAATTACCATGACATGTAAAAGTAGAAAAATAAAAATAAATCGGTATAGAGTATATCGAATATAATAGTAAAATAACGCAATACATAAGAGAACATTATATATGAAATATTTCAAGTACCAATTAGTATAAAAATATCACAAAATAAACAATACAATGCACAACGTGCATATACATTTTTAATATAAAAAATTCCAAAAACATTATAACACAAAACTTTACTTGTTACACTTAATATAAGTTATGAGATTTTATAAACTGATTTGAATCATACAATGGGGGGTCTACGATGAGAATTATAAAGGTTATGATGTATTTCTCATATGAATTTTACCCCAAAAGAAATCTTGTCCAATCGCCTACTGAGGACCTTGTACTATATGGTTTCAAAGTTATTGCAGAAGAATCACGTCAAACAAAAGGATCGAATTGTCTCGTCTATTCCGACAACAAGTATCCTCGACCTTATTCACAAATGTGTTTTATTGTGCATATGCTAAATGTCTCTCAAGACTTCAAACAGAGGACAAATGCACGGTTTTCCACAAACAAGGGAGAGTAACAATTACGATGCAGGCTAATTAGAAGTTTTCCAGGCAAATCGGCATGACCGAAGATAGTTTGATGAAATGGCTGTGCAAAGGAAAACTGCACGCTTTGCTTTTCTTTTGCAAATCAAACGAAAGACGGGATAAAAATACAATGCCAAACATGAACGCATATATAGTGGGGATTTGAAGGGCACAAAGCGCTAAGATCAACGGATCAGGTCCAATTCATCAAGGGACAATTTTGCATATCAGAATAAGTTGAGCAAACTCAATTTGACAAGCAGCAGGAAGCATGAATCAAACCGAAAGGGTGCTGCTTCTCCTCTGAATAAGATTTTGCCTAAACCAAACAGAGTGATTAACCCACCTAAATCTTAATGGATAATACATGAACATTAGCTTGGCATAAGCTAAGTACATTAACGTTGAATGCTTTCCAATGCAAAACTCGAAGTGTGACAAATCCTGTTTGCACTGACTTCAATCACATCACAAATATGAGCATTATGCTTGTATCCATAAGTGGTACGAAAAGAAATCTTTACCAATATTCAGGCTTTTGAAAGTGAAATTTTTAGTTTCAAGTAGATGAATCCTCATCTGATGTCCCTCTATTGTTCCTCTCCCTCCAGCGAGCCCAAATCCACTTTGAGATCATAAATCCTCCAAGAGCATACACCTGAACAAACACAACAATCAGCTATCAACAATCAAAGACCAATACATCAAAAAAGGTGGGAAACAGAAAGATCAAGCAGCAGACACTTCAAGTGCACTATGCAGATAGATCAATTAGATGAATCATCACAAGCTGGCCAAACTTTCCAAAAGGCTTCCTCATACATGATCATACAAGAGGCCCCTCAGAGAATAAGCATGTGGTCTCACACAAATTTCGTAGCAACATTACATCTCCCTCCACAACAGAACCACAAGCCAGGTGATTGCAGAATAGTGGGTGCAGATGGTGACTCTGTAGGAGTGTACTTTAAGGGCGGATCACCAAGCGATGAAGAGGATGACCATAAGGCTGTAAATGCTGGCAACTAGGAGTGTGGAGCGACAATTGTCGCCATTGAAGTGAGTAGAGAAGTTTGTGTAGGAGGTTGTAGAACAATGTGCTGAAGGTCCACAACCAGTAGGGAGAGATGATTGCATGGTCAGTGTCAAGCGGCTGGCTGGAGTTTGTCGACAAATATGGAGGTCGTAAGATGGGCAGCCGGCTCACTGAAATCACTACATGCAAATGACTGCATACGCATGCATGTAGAACTGGGTGGACACAGAGACATAGATCTTCCATTTCACACTTGAAAAACAAGCATGTTAACTAACATTGACACTACTACAAATAAAAAAGCTTATACAAAAGTTCAACTCCCAGGAAAAAAAATGGATGGTATAAGAAAAGAGAGGGTATCAAAGTATATTTCATGGAATAAAATTTGAGAATCCAAGTTATTGATCTTTACTCAGACATCTTAAAACACACATAAATGATAATTAAAGATGGTTATAAGGTCATCTTAATGCACAAGGTGCCAACCACCATGGTGTTTGGGAAGGGACAAATATACACCCCCTCACCTCCAGACACACTACATCCGTTCTTGTGTCTGAATATAAGGTGCTAGGTTGATCACAGGCCTGCCTTCAGTACTTAAAATAAATTAAATCTTATTTGGCCCTCCGAATGTCCCATTCAAGAATTTCTATATGAACTTTGGTGAAAATACTAAGGTCTGAATGCCTCCAAAAATATTCTAGCTCAAATATATTCCTACATGTATACGTGTGCTGATATATAACATGGCATAAGTATGCAGCCATTCTTTATTGAATAAATAGACAAAAGTGTCATTTTCATTTAGAGAAAACCAAGGAAAAGTAAGCCTTTTCTTTTAGCCTATGCTTCAAAAATATTTGGGTTGAGAAATGAGATATCAAAAGTACATAGAAAATTGCTAGAATCAGCAGATCTTTTCTTTGGGAGGATAATTATCCTTCAGATTTGTCTTTGTATCTATCAAATGACCTAACCAGGTCTTTCAGTAGAACTTTGAAGCAGTAATTTAACTTCCTTTTTTGAAAAGAAAAAAAAAAGTACATAGAAAATATATGACTTACTAGTCAACATCCACTGGTTACTTATCAAAAGAATCCCAGGAGAGTATTGTGAAGAATGAAAAATAAACTGCCACCAGTACTGAAGTTTCCTTTCGTATCTAATTTGTACAATCTATTCATCATGTTCCTTGCACAATGAACCAAGTAAAATGATAGAACCTCCCACTAAAACCTGTTCTATAGCCCATGAATCCTTCTCCAATCTTATTTATTCCCCACACCTCCCAATGTAGTTGCCATTAACTCACCAGAAATAACATCTCAGATGTAACGAGGAAAGTGGTGGCATGCACCCTATACATATATGTGCATGTTTGATGAGTTCACTAGATTAAAGCTTCGTTATAATCATGATAACACATAGAAAATAAATTTTTGATATCCTCTTTGTATGCCCCTATATAAATTTGAGCGCATGCATGCACACATAACAACAATGTGCACTTTATTTGTTACCCCACTGCTAGAACCATTCCAAATAGCTAGAATTTATTCCTGTCATGACTCATGACATTAGTTTTTAGAAATTTCTAGAATCAGACTTCACTCAAAGTAATTCAAAGAAACCACTTTCTTTCGACATCAATCCTTCACCACTCACATTTCCATCATCTTCACTTGTCCTGCCATCTGCCTACTTTGTCAACAACTGCCATATAACCTATCCCTATTTTTTGACTCTCCTAACTGGTCATAAGGAGTCGACAGTTTAGCTTGCCAAATTTTCCTCCTATTCTATCCAAGAAGTTCTTACTTCAACTATATGTGGAACTGCAGACCATAGATGATGGAGAAACTTCTATCATAGGTGGTTTACAAAGATAGGAATTGCTACCTCAAATCACAGTTTATCAAAAAGGTAAATCAAAGAGGAAACCTCTGTGGCTGGGAGTGATTTCTATAGTAGGAACCCGACTCAAATTCATGGTGGTCTGTATGACTATAAGAGGCTCTCGTGAAAAACAATTTTGATGAGCCATTGGTTTCAGAAGTACTCTGAAAAAAGGATGCTTATCTTGTTATATACTCAACCAACTATGCTATCTTGTACCTGCTGATGCCACCTACAATTATTTGGTTCATAAAATTGAATACCTTTCAGTAGATGCACTCTACAACAAATAAAAATCCAAGTTTAGCCTTTAGACAAAGACTACAATATCCCTCTCTTTCTTTTCAGACTGACATAAGATCATTCAATCGTCTAATCCCTTCTTGATTCCTCGCAAAAGCAAACAACCTAGGGATCCTTACCATTCCTAATTGCAAATGGGAGCCATGACATGGATGACACACTGATAAAAAAACTTTAGCAAAATGATCTTTCTGTTCTTGAAAAAGAAACTCCACAAAGGAATGGTGAAAACTGATTAGACCCTTATAACCGAATCTTTAGTTATCAGCAACCGCTTCATAGAAAGCTAGGCTTGGAGTTCAATAGTCGACAAGTTCTCGTCGAATGAGCAAGTCACCTGGAATCCACAGACACCAAATATCAGGGTTCCTTCCCCAAAATAGCCCTTTATTCACTTAGATGATCTCTCTTCTTTTGACTCTTAGTTAGGGTTTGTTTGTTCCTGAAATTTAACCCTTCACGACACCAATCCTGGTCTAACAAGAGCCACATCGTCATCCAGCTTCATAGCTTCCACAACAATGATGCCAGTCCGGTAGACATGCGAATGATCGGGGAGCACAAACACAACAAAAAAGAGAGTGAAGGAGGAAGGGACGACCTGCCACAAGTTGCGCGGGTTCATGTCTTCGGTGGAATCCTCGCACTCCAACTTGAGAGGCGGGGGGAAGCTCTGGGCTCTTCGGCGAGCGGCGTCCGGAAAAGTGACCATCGCCACAGGAGGAGGAGGATTGGCCACCCCGTGCTTCTCCTGCGTCGCCTGCCGTGTGTCTCCCTTGCGTGGTTCCACTTCAACCCCTGCCATGACGCCCCTCTTTCCTCTCTCTCGCCTCTGCTGGACAATGCCAAGTCCGATTCGATATTTAGGGCGTAATAAAACTCGTCTATCCGCGACCCTTGTCGTTCGTCTAACCCAAAACCCAATAAGCGGAACTTCGATGGCCTGTGTCCTCACCCATTCAGATGCCAATTTCCACATCTCAACCGTCCATCACAACAGCCAGACCGTCAATTCAATCATATGGCTTAGGAGTTTTGTATTGAAAATTGATTTAGAGTAGTTATTCATGTAGTTATCCTATTTTAGATAATTATAGATATATTTTAAAAAGTGACCTATGATCTAGTAGTTATAGGATAATTCCTACACCTAACTCAATCATGAGTGATATTGTAGAATGAGATAGTTACCATTAGATCCTATAAATAAGATCAAGTAAGATAAGGAATATACACTTGGGAATATATTATAAGTGTTCCATGTCAATCCTCTTGTTTAAATATTACATCGGTTTTCTTGATCGAAAGAATTCTTTTTAATTACATCGTAGTATTCTGTTTTTATCGTTTCCTCACTCCTTCATCCCTAACATTTATGGTATGAGAGCTAAGTTTCAATCTGAACTAAGCATTATGACTTTCATTGGAAATTTCATGTTTCAACCCCTTATTCTCATCTTCTCGGGCAAATGCTATGAATTTTGAAGTATCAAGATGAATACTCTATTCAAGTCTCAAGATATTTGGGACTTAATAGAGAATAGATATGAAGATCCAGATGAAGAAATCAAGTTAAGGAAAAATAGAAAGAATGACTCAAAGACATTGTTCTTCGTTCAACAAACTGTACATGAGATAATTTTCTCAAGAATTACAGTAGTGATAATCTCAAAGCAAGCTTGATTGATACTTCAAAATAAATTTCAAGGCTCATCAAGGATGATTACGGTAAAACTTCAAACTCTTCGTCGTGAGTTTTAAATTTTGTTCATGAAAAGCAATGAATCGGTGCAAGATTTTCTTTCAAGCAATGAATCGGTCAAATGAAATCTTATGGTGAACATCTTCTTGATCATATAATTGTTATAAACGTTTTGAGAAGTTTAACTCCGAAATTTGATCATGTTATTGTCACAATTGAGAAGTCAAAAGATTTATCTACATTTTCATTTGATGAACTAATGGGTTCCTTGCAAGCAATAAAGCAAGGTTGAACAGATCACTTGAAAAAAGTAAAGAACAAGCATTTGAGATTAAGGGGGAGTCTTCTACTTCAAAAGAAAATAAAAAATCAACAGGAATAGGACATAGTAGAGAAGGATTTCATGGTAGAGAAAATGGAAGATGAAGAAGAAAATGACACTTTGATGGGCAAGATGAACAAAGACAATCAAATTATGATTAAAAAAATTACAAAAGTGGGATTCAATGTCACAATTATAAAAAGTTTGGTCACATGAAGGCAGATTATTGAAAAAGAGAAAAACAAACAAGCTATGTGGAGGAAAATAAAGAAAAATAGTAAGTTGTTTATGACTCGTTCACAAGTTAATAATATCTAAAATCATATGTCAAGGAAATGAATAATTGAGGTAAAAACAAATCAAATGAAGGTAAAATACATTGATAATATTTTCTTTATTCCAACTTTCTCACATAACATGTTGAGTGTTGGCCAATTGATAGATGATGGATATTCAGTTATGTTTGATGATGGTTCATATACTATTAAAGATAAAAAATATAGTTTGATTACAGCAAATGTTTGCATGACGCAAAATAAGATGTTTCCACTTAATGTTTCAAATATTGAAAAACATGCTCTTTTCGCAACTCAAAAGAATGAGTCTAATTTACAGCATTTAAGATATGGACACCTTAATATTAAGGGTTTAAGGTTGTTAAATAAAAAATAAATAATTTTTGAATTACCTAAAATTAACACACTTGATGTATGTGAAAGATATATTTATGACAAATAAAGTAAAAAATTATTTTCGATTGAAAAATTATGAAGAGCATCTAATTATCTTGAATTAATTCATGTTGACTTACGTGGACCTATGAATACGAAATTATTTGGTGGAAGTTAATATTTTCTATTATTTACTTATGATTATAGTCACATGATTTGGGAATATTTTCTTGAACTGAAATCTGAAACATTTGATAATTTTTAAAAATTCAAGGCACTTGTAGAAAAGCAAAGTGGTAAATACATAAAAACACTTCGGACAGATAGAGGTGATGAATTTTTATCTAATGAGTTTAATTCTTTTTGTGAAGAAAATGGTATTTGTATAGAATTGACAGCACCATATACACCGTAGCAAAATGGTATAGCTGAACATAAGAATCGAAGTATTGTTGAAATGGCAAGAAGTTTGCTTAAAGGAAAACACCTTTCAAATCAGTTTTTTGGCAGAAGCAATTGCAACAGTAGTTTATTAGTTGAATATTTCACCAACAAAAGCTATTATAAATCAAACTCCTTTTGAGGCTTGGTATGGTATGAAACTAAGTGTAAGTCATCTAATAATTTTTTGTTGTATTGCTTATGCTTTGGTGAATTTACAAAATCATCAAAGCTTGATGAAGAATCTGAAAAATATATCTTAATTGGTTATTCCTTACGATCCAAAGCATATCGATTATATAATCCTGTTAGTGGCAAAGTTATTATTAATAGAAATGTTGTGTTTGATGAAATGACAGGTTAAAATTTGGAGACCAATAAAGGTGAAATATAAATTCAGATTTCAGCAGAACTAGACACTCCATAGAATCAAATGACAGATCCTGCTCCAATAAGTTTATCGTCAATCTCACCCAGTAGCAGTTCAAATTCTGATTCCTCAGATGAAACCCCTCTAAGAAATTTCAGATCACTAATAGAAATTTATGACTTAACATTTGCTTTGTTTATTTCATATCCTATAACTTTTGAGGAAGCAATTGAAAAAGAGGAATGACGAAAAGCAATGAAAAAGAAAATCAAATCAATTGAGAAGAATAAAACTTGGGAGCTAATGGATCTACCGAAAGAAAAGAAAGCTAATGGATTAAAATGGGTGTTCAAAATAAAGTTTAATGTAGATGAAATTATCCAAAAGCATAAGGCTCGGTTTGTAGCAAAAGGATATTCACAGCAATAATGCATTAATTTTGATGATACTTTTTCTTCGGTTGCTATATTCGAAACCGTGCGAACTTTTTTGGCTTTAGCTGCTCACATGAGTTGGCCTGTTTATCAATTTGATATGAAATCTATGTTTTTAAATAAAGATTTACATGAAGAGATTTTTGTTACTCAACCTGAAGGTGTTTTTGTTAAAGGACATGAAGAAAAGATATATAAGCTAAAAAAAACTCTTTATGAGCTTAAACAAGCTACAAGGGTATGGTATAGTAAAATTGATTATTATTTTTATCAAAATAGATTACAGAAGAACAATAATGAACCTACTTTTTATCTAAAGAAGGAATGTTAACATAATATTCTAATGGTTTCTTTATATTGATGATATAATATATATGGGTTCATCTAACTCTTTTGTAGTAGAATTTAAAAAGTGTATGATGAATAAGTTTGAAATATCATATCTAGGTCTACTGTACTATTTTCTTGGGTTGGAAGTGAAGCAAGGATCAGATGAAAATTTTATTTCACAAAAAAAAAAATGTAACATATCTACTCAAAAAATCTAATATGATTAATTGCAAAGCCACAACAACACCCATAAATGTAGATGAGAAATTGAAACTTAAACAACACCCATGAACGTAGATGAGAAATTGAAACTTAAAGATGATACACAAATGCAAGATACTACAAAAGTTTGGTTGGTGGTTTGATTTATCTAACTCATACTCGACTAGATATTATCTTCTATGTTGGTGTAGTATCCAGGTTTATGCAGAGCCCAAGCAAACATCATCTCGGATCTGTTAAAATAATTCTGCGTTATATCGTTGGAACTATAGATTATGGTATTTGGTATTCTTATAATTTTAAATGTAAATTATTTGTTTTCACGGATAGTGATTGAGCATGAGCTTTAGATGATAGAAAGAGTACTTCATGTAATATTTTTAGCCTCGGATCAGGAGCTATATCTTGGAGTTTAAAAAAGAAAGAAACAACTACGTTATCGACATCGGAAGCAGAATATGTAGCCACAACATCAACAACTTGTTAAAAAATATGGTTTAGAAGACTTCTTGAAGATTTTCATCAAGAACAAAAAGAAGCAACGGAAATATTCTGTGACAACAAAGCCACAATTATAATGATGAAGAATCCAACATTTCATGGAAGAACGAAGCATATAAAGATATGCTATCATTTTATCCGGAATCTTGTAGCAAGTGAAGCCATAGCAATGAAGTATTGTGGAACAAATGAATAAGTTACAGATATCCTCACCAAGTCGCTTCCAGTTCAAAAGCATGTTTATTTCATGTCGTAAATCGGTGTATGTAACTATGAATCAATGGGGAGTGTTGAGAATCGATTCATAGTAGTTATTTAGGTAGTTATAGATATGTTTTAAAAAGTGACCCATGATCTAGTAGTTCCTATACCTAAATCATAAGTGACATAGTGGAACGAGGTAATTACTACTATGTCCAATAAATAGGATCATAATTTATGGAACATGATAAGAAATATATACTTAGAAATATCTTATAAATGTTGTATGTCAATCCTATTGTTTAAATAGTAAGTAGATTTTCTTAGTCGAATTGATGCCAACCTTTAATGCTTCGAATCACAGTTGGGTTCGTACGAGTCTAATGACCCTATGACAATATGTTATGGATAGCATAGTGAATGGTTCGTACTACTATTCAGGACATTTCTCTTTTCTCGAAGCCGCATGGGTTGTTTTGAATCATGGACACCGTCGGATGTGCTCCAATGGCCGATGCGTCTCTGTGATAAGAAGCTAATGTTTCCAAGGACATCAACTAACGACCGTCACCTAGATGATAAAATGCGTCACACCAGAAGCAACCCTGTGATAACATCTGAAACAGCCACTACAAATGACAATAAGTACGATGCATATGAGCCTCAACAATGGGAAATTATTGGATTGCACGTACGCTTCGAATTGATCCAGCAAAATGCAGAAAACAATCATGCTTCTGCAATGATTCGTGCTGATGAATCATAAAATGGAATACGAGTGCAATGCTTTACATGAAATGGCCCGGGAACATCGCAATGATGCCATGGCATATACAAACAGTTCCTAGAGTTCCTCTCCAGTAAATAAATTTCTTAAAAACAGGGGAAACTTATGGGTCATAGAGCTCGATATTAACTACCGACAGAAAATATTATGCAACTGGCTAATAGAACGTATTTAACCTTCAAAAAGGATAAGGTAGATAGGCTCCAGCAGTGCCCAATCTAATCCGAGCGTCTTAGCTTGATGCAACAGGTTTTGCCATTGCCCTCCTGATGGCCTCTGCATAGGTCCTGTGTTGATAGGTCAGCGTTGATTCAAGCAAGTCCCAGAGGGATGTCTTCGGGTTCCAACCTGGATTGCCAACATCATTAATAATCTTGTCTGGCTTTGAGTCTAGGAAATGAACAAACCAATTGATGTGATTGAAGTCTACCGAGTTGTTTATTGATTATGGTCATGTCAGGTATCCGCTTATCACTGTCATCATATCCTTCACCATAGAACTCCTTGGAACTCACGTCAAGTGTGGGCATCTCCAAAGGAGCTTCACCTGAAACCTTTGAGTACACCTACAGACGAGACATGATAAACATAAGAAAAATTGGCAAACATTTGCATTTTGCCCATGTTAGATAATCAACTGACATACCTGTGTCATGATCTCTGCAAGTTGCTTTACGGTGACTTCATTGTTAGGATTTCCAACATTAAAGATATGGCCATTTGCTCGTGCAGGATTTTCCTATAGAGGAAGAGAACAGTGTTTATTTCACTGCAATGGTCCAAGATAGATAAAGGGGAAACAGAAAAATACACACGGTCATCAGGAGAACAGCTTCTATGGCATCCTTGATGTAGACAAAAGTTCTTTGGGACTGACCGCCATCAACAAGTTTCAGAGGCTCACGGCGCAGGAGATTCTGCATCATGTGAAACACTAAGTGATCTTCATAATGTACAAAGGCCAGCATAGCCATTTTTCTCCTTCAACAAGAGTATTGTGATGCATACATTACTGAAGCATGCCAAAACCCTCGGAACACCCTCGCTAGGACCATCGATTCCAGGAATAAAGTCCATCCTTGGTCCAATCCAATTGAAAGGTCTCACAATGGTGAACTCCAGACCATTTTCCGCACCCTCAGCTTTTAATGATCCATATAAATATAAGAATGAGGAATCACTACAAAATTACTGCATTTATAGAAACTTAGCAAGTAAATTTACCATATATCAGCCTCTCAATAAGTTGCTTTGCACATGCATAAGACCATCTCTGCTTCTCAATAGAACCAAAGATGCATGGGGAGGCATCTTCCTTGAGCACATAGAACTCTGGCTCCTATTGGATCACATACATTCTTATTAATGGAATGGAAAAAACACAAAATAACTCGAAAAGAAAGATACTTGGAAATTTGCAGTATCACAAAGACTAAACACTATAGCTACCACAACATGCACATGATTTATTATGTAGAAAGGAAATTAGAAACAAGTAGCAACATCAATCATATGTGACTATAAGTCATTGAAATTATATATCCAATAATGAACCAATAATTTCCTAAAGAAGGTAGGTTCACTGAAAAAAATGACTAGACCAAACAAACTCATCCGACAAAAGCTTGTTGAATCTCTAAGCACATGAAAATTAAGACAGAGTTAACTTCCAAAACCCTGCATCCCAACTCCCACGATGAACATTAGAAAACAACACTCAATGCACAAATATAGTGCTTCTTATAAGTTATAATATCCATTCGCTTGTTCATTATATTATTCCAAAAATTTAATGTGCCTTACATTTTAAACTAATAACAGTAACTTCACCGCCCGTACATAAGTAGAAAGTAATTAATTAGATCGAGTACAAAAAATATGTTGTATGGTTAGTTCCAACCATTCCAACTCGTAATGGAGAATGAACATAAGTAATTCAACTAACAATGAGACTAGGAATTTGAGGCCACAACTTTCTCCATATAATTAATATATATCAGATCAGAATAGTAACCTCAGCTACACAAACACATGGGTAAAGAATAACAAAAATAAAGGAATTACGATAGATTATTCTCAAAGATGCATCTGAGAAGGATGTATCACTGAGCATACAAGTCAATTGTAAGAGAGAAAATGGTGTAATATTTGCTGTGATTGGCCATGCACCTACCAAGCATTGCCACTGAAAGATTATATAAAAAATTGTGATCTTACTCGGTAGAACATTTCATGATCATTTATAATGCATTGTGTTATTCCAAATGTTGCAACCATTCTGAACCAAACAAGAAGTGTGTAAGCTATTCAGCATGGTTTCTTACTAATCAATGAACATCAGTGGTTCACTATTACCAGAGATCATCCTCAGTCAATGACAATTTTATCATTCCCTAATTTCACTTTCATGAACTTACAGTACAACATACGTTACAAGTCAGAGAAACGTTCAAGTATCAGGCTCCTTGATTATAGAGTTTAAAAGTTAACAAAGCCTCGTACACTTTCAAGAATATGTATAATCTACTGCAACGGGCCATGAATGTTTTAATTCTAGGGTTTCTTGTAGACAATTTTCCCCTCTTTTCTAAGTATGGGTACAAGGCTTCTCTCACAAGTATGGGCACAAGGTCCAAACTCAATATTTCACATTCTCACAACAACAAAGAATAAGCACAGTACATCCACCGATATTTCTCCCACAAACCCTGTCATCTCATTCTTTGTCATTATTATATCATACAATAATCTTCCAAATTTGAGATATGGTTTAAGTATCTCTACAACAATTCTAAGGCTTTTAAAAAAATGTTATATGCAAGTTTCAGCCATGCAATAAGTCTTATATTTTACCAGTGTCAATAATTTACGGTATAGTTTATAAAACTGAAAATGGCATATAAATACTTTTCAAATTTACATATATATATATGCAGACTTTGAGGTTGGAAGTCACAAGATAATATATATTAAAAATATACAAACATATAATTGCAGACATATAATCTATTTGTCAAAAAAAAATCTAATCATACATCATTCACTAGCAGCAGGCTATATCTTGGTTACAACTATTTAATAGTGAAAAAATAACGAATATCTGTCACTTGCAAAAGAAACTATCAACATCATGACTAGTATCAGCATGAAAGATTTAGTTATTGTCCTTGAATATCTCATTCTAAATTAGTTGGTCTGGTATCATCAAAGTCCGGTAATATAGTACCATAAAGTCAAATATAAAAGACAGGACCAAGCATTTCGATATGCCCAAACTGTGATCTCTTAATTATCAAAGATATCCTCATGTGTTTTGTCATCTCTTGAGGCAAATGCTGTGGCTCAAGGAATGCAATATGATGAGTACCTTTCTTAATGGGTGATCCTTCGGCAGGAAGCTTCCGATCGTTTTCCCGTACACTTCACAAGTGGAAAAGTGAATAAGGCGCTTGTTGTTCTCCGAGCAGTATCTGACCTGCAGAACCATGTCTCAAGAGGTCACACGAACACCAAGGGTCTGAAAAGCCAAACAGAAGAAAAGAGACCAAGAAACCCAAAATCTTACAACTGGGAGAGCGTCAATGAAATTGCTGTAGATGGTGTCCAGTGGACGGGTGTTGTAATCCGCTGGGGTGCATATTGCCGCCAGGTTGATCGTCTGTAAAGCAAAAAGAGATGAAAACAAAGATTACATCAGGATTCTTTATGAAACAAGACAACATACGGTAGCGAAGACCCGTTCAAACCATTACACGACAGATCACAACAGACACCGGTACAGAGAAAGAAGTAGAGAAACGACAACCGGAAAGCCCAGGTCGGGGTAGATCAAAAGGGAGAGCGGGCAAAGAACAAAATGCTAATATCTGAACCAAGATCTTGGTGTGGAGATAGGACGAACCAGATCTGACATCTTGATGAGGCCCTCGAGCCTGGAGTCGTGCTTGATGTTGAGGCGGTGGAACTGGATCCGGCCGTCCCAGGGGTGGCGCGCCTGCTGCCCCTCCGCGGCCGACGGTGGGTCGAGGAGGTGCTTGATCTTGTCGCTGTAGACGTCAACGGCCAGCACAGTGTGCGGCGTCTCCGCCATCAACTTCTCGCAGAGGTGGGACCCGATGAACCCCCCGGCCCCGATCATGCAGATCGTCATCGGCAAGATCGGGTTCCCGTCGAGATCCATCCTCGCAGCCGCTGCCATCCCCAAATCCCCTCAATAACCCCTCTCAATCCACGGGATCTGCACCAAGAAACGGAACGAGAACAATAAACCACACTCGAAAGAATCAAGACAAAGGACGAAGTCGGTGGGGGGTCAAAAGTAGGGAATGCAGGAGCACGGTTTACCCCTTAAAGCGAGCGGGCAGAGCGGGGCGATGGGGAGGAAGAGCGGAGGAGCGACGGATCCCGAGCGAGCAGCGCGGAGAGTCGGATGTTTCTGTGTGGCGATAGGGTGATGTGTGTGGGCAGTATTTAAACGCCACCCACCACTCGGCGCATCATGTTCCACTCTTCACTCCTCTCCCTCATCTTTCATTAGTATTATCATTCGAATTATTATTATAGCTAATAATTCGGTATTTGAAAAATAAAATAAAAATTGATGGTTTTCTTTAAAAAATATTTTTTTTTAATTTTTTTGGGATGATACTTTTATTTTTTATTTTTTTGTTGCTAATCATCGTTTTTGTCTTATTGTAGTTATCTCCGTTCTACTACTTCTAATTTGACTTAAAACCTTTGATATGGACATAAAAGGATCTTATAAATAGCTAAAAATAGAGCATCATGTTTGTCGTTTATTATAGTTAAATCTCAATCGATGGTTAGGTCAATAATAAGATAATCTTTACAATATTAATTTTAACTTTTTTATTATTATCCGATTAGACGAACAAAATTAATACATGGAATGAGAGGGTGATGTCTCATCTATGACGATAAGATTGTAGAGATAATCATGATAGGACGAAAACGATAGGATTAAAGCGATAGGATGAAAGTGACGATGAAGACACCAAATAAAACAAATAAAAACGGAAGATATTAGGGAAAAAAAAAGTTCGAAAAGATATATATATATTTTTTTTAGAGAAATCGTGCCAGGAAAAAAGTGATGTTAATTTTGGTGAAACATTGCAATTGCTGTTGTGACTGCCAGTGAAGCACGTACTACCTGGACAATTTTTGATGATCGCCTCAGCTATTTACATCAGGCTACGAGAAGAAGATGGTGGGGGCGACGCCAGCTCAGAGCACGGCCGACAGCCTAAGCGCGAGGAGCCACGAAGCGTGCATTCCAGGGGTCACCGACACTTGATGCGTGTGAGCGGAACGAGGAGCAGACCACGTTTTCGGGCGGGTCGGCTCGGAGTGACACAGTTATTGGTTCCTTCAATTATAAATGCTGTGACAGACTGGACGTGGATCGGAGTTCAAAGCGCAGCCGAACTAGTTGGGCTTAGAAAAATCGTCGCCACCGGGAAAGAGCCCGACCCAAGCGACGGAAGGTGGGGAAACACCCGTGACTGACGCCGGCCGTCCACGTGCAGCGGTGGGTTTCCTACAAAAGGAGGCGATTATTATTTATATTTTTTGTTATTTATAATTCTATATCAAAATATTTAAATATTTCTAAATTATCTTTTTATAAATAGATATATATATCCATAATTTCTAACTTAATTTTAATTAAAAAAAATTTCTTCATTATTTATAATCTTTTTTCTTCCTTTTTTTTCATCTTCCTTATCTTATATAATCTCATCTTCCTCCTCTTCATAATTATCAGAGGTGATATAAAATAATAAATAATAAATTAATATTTTTTATTATGTATATTCTATAAAATTCCAAAAAATATCATCATCTATCTAAGAGCGACGTTGGCAATAATATACATAAGGGAAGACTATAGAGAAAAAAAAAAGATAAAAATAAAATTAAAGAGATTATGAATAATACTTTAAAAAAAATAGAAAAATAGATTATAAAATAAATAAAAAAAACTCTAAATAATGGAAGACGCTAACACAAAACCAAATTGGTATAGAAACGATACAGGTATAGGAAAAACCTTAGAGGATGTACACATTTATAGAAATATTATTTATTTATATATATAAATCTTTTTTTTTCCTACTCATATATGAAAAAATGGGTTCAATCTGGTCAATTGTACAGAAAACCATACTTTAGAGTTGAATTTAAGGAAGTAAATTTCTTGAATATAATGCTCGATCTGCAAAATCGGGTTGTTGTCAATACGAACTTCATGACCCTCAAATTAACTGTAAATTATAACTTAGGTAATTAATAAGTCTAATTCCCCAGTAAAAGACTCCAAATATTTATAGTGGAATAGATTTAATTTAAAGCGGTTGGTGATGTGATCGCCAATGTGGACGTCGATGAATTGAGATTGACTTTGGATTTTGACGTATCAACTTATCTATATTATTAGTTTCATATTAGGAGTTAAAAATTGCATATAAGGAGTTGTGAATGAGTTGGCTTTCTATTAGCATTATACAATACAAGCAAAGCGAGTGACTATGTAGATTCAAAATTCAAGAGAAACATTGCAGCTACATTTTAGGGATGTTTAATAGATTTACGTAACGTGATATCAAGACATCATGATTCTTAAATAAGATTTTATTTTTTTATTCTTCTTGGATAAGGAATCTCCTTTTCGATTAGAGATTCATAACATAGGATTTAATCCTTCCTAACATGAGGGGTAGAAAAATTAATTACTATTTCATTGAATCTGGAACTGATAGAAGATAATTTCTTCAGCTATAGGAAAAAATATAAGGAAAATTCTGAATAAAATCCGGAACATGTTAATATATTTAAGTTTCTTTATTTCTTCTTTAATAATTTTTTTAATAATTATTTTTTACTTTTTTATTCTTTTCATCACAAACATCAACAGGGTTGCAGAGATTAAGTCTATCCTACAGTCGGTAACTCTACGTGATCTCCTAAGCTAACTCTGTTGGTGGCTTAACAGTCTCGACGAGCACGAACGACTTTTATCTCCTCTCGTGTGCTCATTAACTTTGTTTCCTCCCCTCATCAATCAATCAATCAACGTCCCGTGGGGAGACCACAAGACACGACTGTATCCACTACCTCAACTCGTCAATTATATACATATAGAGAGAGAGAGAGAGAGAAGGAACAATTCGTTGATCTGTGTGTGAAAGGGTGTCACCCAATGGCGGTGTGACAGTTACGGCTCCCAAGAAGAGCACGCACTCCGTCATCTATGCGGAGCGGCGGTTCTCGGAAACCCGCGCTATAAGAGCACCATCATCTCACCTCGTGGAACAACCACAGCAGTCGGGCAGCGGGGCGGGCGAGCCGCGCGGAGGGCCTCCTCCTCCGACCAGGTTGATCGATCGCCTTCTACGTAGAGAGCGAGAGAGACGTCCCTGCGAATTACCGTCTTCTCCTTGCCTCAACCCCATCCCCCGTGGGGCGGGAGGAGGCGCGTGGCGGAGGGTCGATTGATAAGATTGGGAGAGATTGGGAGGGGAGAGATGGGAGCGTCGCTCTCGAATTTGACGGAGGCCGGGAGCGACGGGTCCGGCGGGCCGGGGTTGGGTGACATCCCGGAGAGCTGCGTGGCCTGTGTGTTTACGTACCTGACGCCGCCCGAGATCTGCAACCTGGCGCGCCTCAACCGCGCGTTTCGTGGCGCCGCTTCCTCTGACTCCGTGTGGGAGCCCAAGCTGCCCTCTACCTACCCCCAGCTGCTGTCTCTGCTCCCGCCCGAGACCGTCGGCCACGGGAGTCCCCTGTCCAAGAAGAAGGAAATTTTCGCCTTCCTATCGCGCCCTATCCCCTTTGACGAGGGCACCAAGGTATGGCATTGTTTGTTGCCCCGGATGCCTTTCTTGATCGCTTGGCCTTGATGGTAACCCTGCCCTGTTCCCGTAGGTGCTCTGGCTAGACAGAGCCACCGGTGGAGTGTGCTTGTCGGTCTCCGCCAAGGGCATGACCATTACCGGGATTGAGGACCGGCGATACTGGAGCTGGATTCCCACCGAAGAATCAAGGTGTGATTTAAACCTCGAATTGTCCAGTGATAAATCTAGGGCAAAGTAGAATTTATATTTTTCCAGTTTTTTTATCTCCTTAAAATCGTAGCCTTCTTTCTATCTGCGCTCCTAATGCACACATATATAATTCATTGGCTTAATACTTTGTTGAATTGCTCGATAGGTGCTTACACCTTTATATATATATATATATATATATATATATATATATATATATATATATTCATAATGAATGGAATTTTTAGACATGTAGCCTTCCTTCCACAATGATTTTGTTCACATTTGAAGAGAAAAATTGGAAATATGTCTGTTTCAGTTGGTTATCATGATGGTTGACTTGAATGAGAATTAGTTGTAAAAGCTGAAAAATGTACATGATTTTTTTCTTTAAAAGGTAAAGAGCGGTGAGCACCAGCTATTTTTCTCCCTAATATCTGGGAATTGAACCTCGAAAACCTCATTGGGAAGCTTGTTTGGTGAATAAAAATAACAAGAGGACCGGTGCTTATCAAATTTCTTCTAGAAACTAACATCTCTTCTTTATCAGTAGATGTTGTCGGTAGCTGTCTGACTTTGCTTGGTTAGCTTGAACCCTAGATATAAATCCGAATACTTGAGAGCCTTGTATGTATTCTCTCCTCTAATGTCTGAAACCTTTTTGCTTCACTGCATCCCTGAACATAATTTCTAATGCTGGCATTTTTACCTTTGCTTGTTGAAGTAGAAATCTGTAGAAATAGCTGATTAGATTTTTCTCCAAGACATGAATGAAACCAGAAGAATGCAAGATTTTATGAAAGAGAAATGATAGAAGTTGAATCAAGCTGCTTGGGGAAAATTTTCTAATATACAATAGCTTCTCTCGTCTTAGAATGTAATCCTTTCTCTCATCTTACTTATGCAATGACTTATGTGGTTACACTTCCTGTTGGCCGTAGCAATGCCTTCTTTCTTTTTAAGAGCCAAGTATTTTTGTTTTGGATGTATCATGTGATCAGCAGTGGTAATATATGAAATGCCTTGCCCGCAGCTGCAGTAGCAGTTATATAAGATGGTGGTGTGGTGGGCATGATAGTAGCGCTGTGGATTCAAGTTCCAAGGCTGCTAAATTGGTACAGCATTTGGTTAGGCCTGCCTGGTGTCCAACTTTGAAGGGTTATGCGGAAATATTGTTAGGTTATGCCAATTTTAGTTTGGAAGTCTGCAGCTTGATGTGGCACTGTGGCAGAGCAGGAAAAGATGATGAAGTTCATCTGCCATACAGAAGAATGTGTTAAATTTAAACAGTTCTGATTTGTTTAATCGTAAAAAAAATGTGTATTTTGGGGGACAAGACATCACTTCTTTGTTATATCTTGTTTAAGGCGTGAACCATCTATGTTTTTCCATGAAGGACTTAGTCTGAAAAGCTTGTAAGTGATACCCAACCAGCTAATCTGGTGGTGTGTACCCGAGTCCCTTTCCATAGGTCGACTGTTCGAACCTTTGGTGTGGCTTGTTGTTCTCCCATTATCCTTTAGTCCTCCATGATGAGCTACTTCCCCCAGGTGTGGTCTGATCACCCATATTTCGCTAGGAACACAAAAAAAAAAAAAAAAAAAACTTGTGACCAATTGCAAGTATCATTGTCTGGATGTCTCTGAGAATGTATGCTTTTTATAAGAACCTCAACTTAAAAATGGATGCTATAAATGTCAATTTTCAATTCCTAGCTGGGGATGTAGCAACAATTAGTTGTAAATGGTGGCTAAATTAAGGAGAATTTCTTGACAGTTTAATCTCGTTCGTGGCCTATGATCACACCAACCTTCCTTGAAGTTGCCCACTTTGTTGACCAGGTAGGAGCTTGCATCCATTGTTACTGAGTTTTGGTGGTTGACATTGACTAATGGTAAAAATAAGTTACTGGGTACTCAACAACTCTTGGTTTGTGGGCACCAGTTTTACGTGACACTGACCTTTTGTTCAACTAGTTACAAACTTGAATTTGAGGTTGACAAGGTGGCTACCAAAACTAAATGATCTCGAACCTACTCAACAGATGATTTGATATTTTGATCCATGATTCAATTTGAACCAATTTTGCTAATAGTTTCCTGTTCTTTTGGTAATATTGGAACACTGACAATCCTTCCTAACCATTTGTACATGAGAAAATATAGCCAATGGAGGCTTACCTCTATATGCAACCATGTGTACATTTGAGAAATTTTCTCTGAATTCTGAATTTGCATTAGATAATTCTATTCAGATTTTTCATGATGTTGCTATGAGTATTGGTCAACATAGTAATATTCCTAATTCCCCCCTCATCAAACAAAAAAAAAACATTCTGTAGCTTTAGAAGTGAATAAACTGGACTGAGTTCCTGCAGGATAACAATTGTGTTGCTGAGCATGCAAATAACTGTTGCATTGACCAGAGACAAGATGACCTGATAATTTTGGCATGATTGATGTAAATATGTTCGACTCTTGGTTTGCAGGTTCCAGGTGGTGGCATATCTTCAACAAATATGGTGGTTTGAGGTCGATGGCTTAATAAAATTTCCATTCCCTGCTGGAGTGTACAGCCTATCATTTAGACTGCACCTCGGAAGATTCTTTAAAAGGCTGGGGCGGCGTCTATGTAATTATGGCCAGACTCATGGTTGGGATATAAAACCGGTACGATTTGAGCTTTCGACTTCTGATGGTCAGCAAGTTTCACGTGAATGTTGCTTGGATGAGCCTGAAAAAGATGATATGGGAAACCATAAGCGTGGTTGCTGGATAGATTACCATGTGGGCGACTTTGTGGTCACTAGTTCCGACACAGTGGAGTTGAGATTTTCGATGAAGCAAATCGACTGCACGCATTCTAAAGGGGGGCTCTGTGTAGACTCTATATCGATCATACCAAGTGGATTGAGACATGGGAAGAAGAGTTTATAAACTAAACTGACTTTAGACAGACATATGAGAGTTAATTGTTCCAAGAGACTCCGATGCATGACAATAGCTGTAATGCTTTTAGTGGGGATCTATTCGTCAACGCCTGTCGAGGCTGGTTTTTCTCGGTGCTCTGTAATCTGCTACTATACCTGATGCTATCTCATATTATGTGCACATAAAATCAGGTAAATGAGTTTTTGTTTTGTTTTTTTAGGATGTGTAAATTTGGCATTTTTTTGTGAAAACTTTGCTCGACAATACATATGGTATTGTGAGATCTGGACCGATGGAAAGAGTGGTATTGTGAGATCTGGTCCGATGGAAAGAGTCTGCTCGTAGAACTATTAATAGAGCATGGTTATCAATCAATTGTTAGTCTGATAAATTGAATGTTGCAGTCTACATAAGTTGATGCTAAATTGGACAACGCTTGCGAGTAAATGCTGTGGGCGAGGCATATTATTTTGCTCAGGTATTGTTGAAGTTATGAGAACACCTTTGATTTGGTTCTTCAAGTTGTTCCAGTCTTCAAAATTGCCAGTAGATGTTGGGTGGATCAGAACCACATCCTATCAAGGAAGAAGAGAACCCATGGTGGTCAGTTTGCTTTCAATGGCCAAGAATGATCAACACGATGACTTTTGGTTGGTTGATTTCGTTTATATATATATATATATATATATATATAGAGAGAGAGAGAGAGAGAGAGAGAGACACACACACACACACACACTCTAATATTTGACTCTCTTAGTGCGTCGCTTGTTTATGAATGTAGTGCACGTATGATAACCTACCTGAGAACATAACACTGCTGGCTCTGGCTCTGCTCTACCGGCTTTTGTAAGAAATTAATCTCACTGTCCACTCCGTGGTGGGAAGAGTGTTGGCTCAAAAGAAAAGAATTAAACGTTCCACATATGGAAGAGCATAACCTCATTCTAAATTCCAACTCTCATTACCGCTAGTGTAAGTAAGCCTAACACGGGCTTGCACCACTACTTGTTTGAACTCAGGACTCACTAACTCTAGGCAACCGAACCCTAGACTAAGCATTATAACAAATTATTGAATATGCACATCAATTAATATAAGGTAGTAAACAACCAGCATTAATTCCCTATTTAAAAGATAAATGATTAAAACAAAATTTAAGTACAAAATTTTATGATAATCTATTAAGATCTTTACTAACCAAATTAGCTAATATATTTCTTTTGATTGATGCGTATAAGCAAACGAGGTAAAAACCTTGATAGTTTATTGCATTGTAAAGTCATGAGTTCAAATTCTGTCTTGACCATTTATCTTTTAAAAAATCATGAACTTTCCATGTATATTATTTCATTCGAAAAGGATTTGGACATTAAATTTCTACAGCATGAGCAAAATTGGTTGCTATGATAAACATGCTGACAGAAAGGTAGGATACTGAAGATAGAGAGTTTTTGATCCTCATGTACGTTTGCACCCAATACAAAAGACACCTTTTCTGTCGATCACATGTAAACACAGGCAGACAAATGGATGAGACTTTCTATCAACAAACTGTCCCAACATCGCAGTAATATCATACTAAAAGTAGAAAAGCCTGCTCCAAGCACAATTCACAAGCCTGCTCTTCGTTTATACTCGAGCAAATTTTTTTCAGCATGATATTGCCCTAATGTAAATGATAATACAAGACAAACCTCGGACAAGTTGAGCATGAGCATCCTTTATCATACCATCAACAATCTATCGTTCGTTTGACTCGCTGTTAAAAGTATCCGGTCAACATGCAATTCGACGGTGAGGCATACGAATGCAAGCTATATGCATCGATGGCCCATGACCAGATACCCATGCAAAATCCCGTTGCATGTTGTATGAGTGATTCAGCTGAAGATGCAGCAGTAATCAAATGCGTCAACTGTCAATTCCCTGATGAGCTTGTTGCCATCGCTGCTGTTTCTGCTTAAGTAGTGGAAATAGAATATCATTGAGTTGTCTTTCTGCACTAAACTCGGATGTTGCCTGGAAATACAAAAAATCAAATGTTGAATTCTCTTTCTGCGGTAGACCATAATGTGGAGTAGATATGTAAAGTTGAAAAATATTGAACAACCTATCAAGAATGAAACACAGATGCCCTGAAGAAAAACAATCTCATCAATTAAGAATTATATAAAGATAAAATTAGTATAACACTGTTTTTAGAATGCAAACCTGCACTTAATTGCTAGATGTAACTTACATCTAGCGTTTATTTTGATTGCACTAAATGGCCTTTTCTTTGAGTGATAATGCCAAAATGTAAACCATAAATCTCAAAATATTGACATGTAACAAAGGGAATGGAGGGAAACATAATTCCAACAACCAGGGTTGTATGAACGTTTAACGTGGAGAGAACAGAGTTGTCTGAACAAGCCAAAGTTGAAGTAGCCAAAGAACCAGTGAAGATGGCTGTGAAAGGGCATCGAGATATAAAAGGGAGAATATCATTACAACTACGACTATAAATTAAAGAAAAGGATAATCTAGTCATTGATAGATTAATGGAAAACAGGATTGCTTGTTTCCACGAATCCAGGGCTGTTTTGCCCCAGTATTGAAAATTGCTCCCATCTCAATAATTTAGAACATGAACATGTACATTGTACCTTTGTTCTCATCGTTGAATCCTAAATCTTGATAATAAAATTAATTGATGAATTAATGTGCTGTTAAGACAAGTGACACAAGAAATACTCCAATCAAAGGTTCGGACCACCAAAGGGCTAAATGCTGAGCCGAAGAATCGAATGTTGTGTTGAAATTTGGATGTTAAATCGAAGGATTGGTTGACATGCCAGAGAACGGACTTCGTACTAGAGGCTCAAACATCATGCCTAAAGGATCACAAACTGTGTCGAAACATTGAATGTCGTAATGAAGTCAATGTCAGAGGATGACACGATGTGCTAGAGGTTCAAACGATCTGTCGGAAGATTGAATGATATGCCGGAAGTGCGAACAACATGCTGAAGGCTTCAAACAAGTGTCTGATGAGTCAAGGCCTTAGTCGAGGTCATTTTGGCCAATTTGAGTCGATATCGAGTTGAAATAGAGTCTATGTTTACAGCAACCATTGGGCTTGGAGTTGGGCCGGAATAGGCATGTTAGAAGGTCAAACACGTGGCCTAAACTGCTTAAGGGCAGTGGTTCCGCCAGGCCCAAGCGGTAGTACTGCCAAAGTCACCCGACAAGCACCGTTTGTGCTTTGTCAACGTTTTCGTCAGTGATACTGCCTATGGTGATGTTAGGACCACCGGAATCCAAAATTACGGTTCTGTTTCAAATACTATGGCAGCAATATCATCCAAAGTTAGCGATAGTACCACTTGTAATATGAAATCTCAGGAATTTAAATTTTTGGCTCTATTTTCAAAGCCTTTTGGGGCTATAAATGCCCCTTACATGCTTGGTTGATGTAGCATCTATTCTTGAGTTTGTAAAGTGTTGTAACTCTCTTTGAGCATTGTTTGAGTCTCTCCCTCTCTATTAAGTTCAGTTGTGATATTAAATGATAGGAGGTAGGAGGTCTCTTATAAAATATTGAGTGTGAAGGTTTTCTCATAAGCCAGGAAAAGAAAAAAGATTGAAAAAGAAAGGTTGTAAAGGGTTGTTCATATTCACCCGTTGGAAGCTAGATTAGTGGTGAAAGTCAATGGTCTCGAGGGAAGAGGAATCGAGAGTAGACGTAGGTCAGGAAAACCGAATCATTGTAAATTGGTTTGTATTCTTTCTCTTGCTTATAACTTTCAATCGTGATTGCTTATTTATTATCACTCACTTTACTCGTAACTCTTACTTGCATTTAATATTTGTTTAGTCATGTATCTAATACGTGTTTTTCTCATCAAGTTATAAAGTCGGTTAAAATTTGCTATAGCACTAATTTAACCCTCCTAAAGTGTCATTAACTTGCTAACACTCGTTACCTCAATATGATGAAATCTCATTAATGAATCCACATCCCTTTCAAATTGAGACACTCCAAAATTCTGTTAAATGATGTAACGTGCATAACTTTCAAATATGAATATACAGTTTACCCTGCAAACTAAGTTTTACACTACAGACCACAGCTGTAGTATTCACAGAGATATATCACACTCACTCTTTCTTAAAAGTGACCAACTCTCACCAGAGGAATCAGAACAATCACAAGTCCATCGTCATGCAGTAGTTTTGTATATTTAAGTATTTAAAAGAGTGTTAAATAAGCAAAAACATACTCAAGTTGAGTATAGACTTACTTGTGTAGCAAAAGAAAATCTTAGAGTTTGGACTTGCCTTCCTGAACAAACTCTCAAGTCAAAACCAAGACTGTCAACACCAATGACAACAGCCTCCTGAACTACAGAAGTACAAAATGTATTAGGTCTCTACCTGTGGCTAAATCAATATATTTCATAACAATCTTAATGCCATGGAATCAATACAAGTACATTAACCCAACATTACAACCCCTATATAGTGTATAGACTATCTGCAGTCAAGAAAGCTGAGGTTCCACATGAGATAAGTCAACTATAACAAAAGTACAAGTCCAGAAAAAAAATTCAACCATGACATTTGAATGCAGCATACGATATGGAGCATCAAATTTCATAAATTAACAAAACCCATAATAGATTAATGTCAGTTAAATGATAATTCCAGAAATGGATAAGAATTACAGAATGTGTCAACCATTGATGTTAAGCAATAATAATTACTGTTCATTTAACTTAAAATAAGCAGTATGAAACACATAATAGATTAACATCAATCCAGAAATAAATAAGAATTTTGAAATTTGTCACTCATTGATGTTAAGCAATAATAACTACTGCTCATTTAACTTAAGGTAAGAAGTACATGTGCATTTGTATTCTAGAGTTGTTCAGGATGTTCTATGGGATTAAGTAGTATTTCAGCAGATAATGATAAGTAGGTATCTGACTATACCAAATGGCTTAAGGTACAGCGGATTAGCAATTCGGCAACAGAACACTGGGACCAGTATATAATAGAAAATTAAGCAACTTTTATATTCTTCGTAATAATAAAATTATGCCTTTTAAGACATAATCAAAATAATAGATTTAATCTTTGCACTGATTCCATAGTTGGGCCTTCACTTTATAATTGAAATTAACATTCCTGCATCAGCACAACATTGTATCGATATGAAACCTAGGTATGCTTTTCAGAGTTAAGAGGGTCCTAACTTCTAAAACTTGAACATGTTCGTACTATGAATCCACATAAAATATTTCAAGAATGCTTCTAAGTTGTAGAAAGAACATGCTTATTGAGATATTTCAGTCAACAAGTAGAGACATAGAGCCATAATTGACAAGGCTATATCCAGGCTTACAATTTGATAACAGCGACAAATCAAGTGATTCACATATGGTTTGTCTCATTTTATTACAAACTTCTATCTTGATATACTATGATTTTGCAGCATAGAAAAACTTAACCAAGCAACAAATATAAGTACCTTTAGGCTAATTATCCAAAGATAATAAAAGGAGAAGTCTATTAAAGAGAGCAAATCAAGGAAAGTGCAAATTTTTAAGAAAGATGACCATGCCATGATTCTATTGCCTAAACTTAAAACTATACACTAAACTAATCGAAAAGCTAAATATCCTTAACCACGTAATCATCCTTTCCTTTTTGCTCCAGTTCAAAGTCCTTTTCTGGTTTTTCTGCTGGTTAAACGGATTCCAGCAGTTGAGGACTGCCAACTTCTATTAGAGTCCAAATAGGACTCAATTGTGTTGGTTGGTCTAATAAAGATTCAACGACACTTTTCTTTGTCAATTTAGAAGTCTTAGACTCCATTGGATAGAGCTTTGGAGGCATTGCTGATGCAGTTGTAATAAAGAAAAGGGCCTTGCTGATGCAGTTGTAATAAAGGGAAGGCAAATGGACTACCACATTACCTCTACATGAATACCCTTTTGCCTCATACACAGCATTTTAAGGGCTTGTGAGACCTTTTCCCCACCAGATTTAAGACGAGATATGATATTGGTAGCAGAATGTGCAAGAACATCTGGTCGAGCTTCTCGAAAATCTTGAATCTTAACTTCAAACTGTAAAGCAACAGAATGAGAATAAATTCAATAAGAATTAAAAAATGGAAACAAAATGTGAACATTTGACCAAGGATTGACATTTGGTTCATACTGGTATATATTGGACGATATTTGCCAGTTTGGACATGCATGAGAACATAAATCGTCCTATTAGGATGGGCCAGCATGTTTTTTCTTTTTAGGGTTAGCACTGATTAAACCATCCCTCTCTCTCATCTCTCTATCTTTCTCAATCTCTATTGCAAAGTGTGTTGTGAGCTTCCGCCAGCTTGTTGCTCACACCATTTATTTTAATGACAGATTGTGTTGGTTGGGCAATTTGTTTTGGTCTATTAGAACATTAGTCTTTTTTAGGTTATTGAAAGAAAACATGCCTGATTCCCATACGAAGAAACTATCTGAATATTAATCATCTCCAATTTGTAGAATGAAGCTCCGTTATGTAGACTTTGATCCTTATCTAATTCTCCTACACGATGACAATAAAAGTCAATCATTAGAGAAACTAGGTACATGAAATTAAAATTAAGAAATGCCCTTATATCATAATTTTTTTGAAAAAAAAAGGTTGCATATCTTTTGTATACCACTATATGGAAGCTTCTTGATATTTATGCTCTCTTCAGCGAAGGCAGGTCTCAGTTGACCTTGGATGACAATGCTAGCAGGAGGTTGATCCATCCAGTCCAAATCAACATTCGATACAGACTGAGCAAAAGACAGAACCATGAATATCTTGCAGCTCAGGACAACTTGCACATGCATATGAAATAAATATTTCAGTGAAGTAGAAAAAACTTTGAAGTAAAAAGTTATCATGTTAATTAAGGAAATAAGCATTTACTGCATACCTCTTCCATTTTCTTAGCAAAATACATTGGATGACAAGACTGCATTGTTTCCAAATTTGTCCAATCACTAACATTATCAGAAGAGAGAAGTTCATCTAATTCATCTTCGATGATGGCCACTGCATCCTGCAAAGAAGTGATGATAATGGCATCTACCTCATTTTGTTATCAAAACAGCATAAAAGCCAAAACAAAGCATGTTATCTTGTCTCCGCACCTCTTCATATCCATCATTAACATCACCTACATCACTTGAGATTTCTTCTACTTCAATATCAAGATCACTTGGCCCTAGCACTTCCATCTCTGATAGCATTTCTATATTGTCCAACCCAATTATAACTTGCTGCACTGAAGATCAATATTAGCTGAAGCATTGCAAGTTTCAAATCTAAAACTAAATAATGTAAAAGAAGGGCAACAGTACCAAAGAAGAAATTAAAATTGGAGTACCACTAATTTATCGTCCGAAATCAGAGTTTGCAGAATTTCTTTCTCATTATTCACCTCAAAATAGATATCTGTCCAAATTGTGCAACAGAAACTTCATGAGAGTGGTAGAAGAAGATTAAAAAAGACACTGCCCCCAAGAATAAATATCAAGACATAAAAAGGAATACAAATATATAAGTGTACCTCCATATTCATCAGTTAAATATGGTACATAAGGCCAAATAATATTTTCATCGACTTCTTCATCAATAAATCCCGTGAAAATGACAGTTGCTTTGCTATTCACCTGTGCATGGCACGAGCACCACAGCATGAAAGGATTTTTAAACTTACTACCATCATTAGACATACCCTAGAGAAATATCATGTAAGAATACATAGCATTAACTTCAGTTAGGTTCATATTAGGATTTGAGTGACTTCAGCATAGGAATCCAATTTTAAGATAATTATCCAACTAAAACGTAGCTTCACTGGAATTTCCGAACCTTGGAAAGAATACAAAATAGTGTAGTATAAACGTTAGGATGCTTTACAAAAAGCAATAAAGGTATGTAAAGTACGAAGTAGCGCTCCGCATTTAGATATCTACTTGAGAAAATAATAATTAGACATTGGTACTCCCCAACAGTTTGTTGGCACCGGCTGGTCTAAAAGACTAAAGTAGCACTAATGTGAAGGAGATTGAACATATATATGTTGACTGAGGACCTAGTACGTTTCAATCTGAACTTACTGATAAAAGATTTACTGGCCCCAAACTCGGTCCTTATTCAGATGTCTCAATTAACTAACAAACAACCTAACTAAAGCTAAAAAGCAAGGCGTCCATATCTAGCCACATACAACAGAGAAGTAACTGAATTCAAAAACAGAGTTATGGTACAGCTTGCAAAGCTAAGTTTGCAGTAGTTATGAGGTAGCATAAGAGTATAGCAAATAACGAAAGATTGAATATATATAGTCCAAAGAAAAAGAAAGAAGAAAATCAAAGACTAATGGACACACGACCAAAGAAGACATTTCATATAAACAAAGAGAAATAAGAACTATTTGGGTTGGTCGCTCTAATGCATCCCATAAGCTAACCTGGTTGTGCCACCTAAAACCCTGGAAGTCAATTGTTAGAATAGGTGTGCAGATTTATCAAGCAGCTAGAGAGCTTCCAATGGTTGAACTTTGTATAGAATGTGCAATCATGTAAGTTGTTAAGGTAGCCGAATGGAATACCAAACTACATCTAAGAACCTATAATGAACCCACATGCAGAAACCAAAAACAAAATCCAGATGCATGCTTTACAGATCTAACGAGCCCCTAGTGAAATAGAGAAGATAGCTTCTCTTGGATGTAGGATCAGCCGATGAAGGCCGAAATGAGCCTGAATGGTTAATCAACCAAATGTATATGCCCAAAGAATAGCGTACAGGTTATCTTCTTCTAAAACGAGGATCCATCTTATTTGACACAAGGACATTCTCGTATACTCTCTAATTCGGTTAAATGTTGTGCGGTTGCTACCTCAACTATGGTTCTTGCAGTTTCGGCATCCGTGAGGCGCCTCTCTTCGCCGTCAACGGGAGGAACCAGCTCTTCGATTTCCTCGGAAGGGTGGTACCGCCGTCTGGAGTTGCTCGTCGGCGAATCAGCATCCCCTTGCGCGGCACGAACCCTAGCAGAAAGAGGATGACTCGGGCACGATCCAAAGCAGCCATCCATGTTGGTCCTGGCGAGCATTCCCAAGACGACGGATTACAAGAAAAAGAAGATACAAACTGAGGAGACCGGGAAGGAGCGGCCGAGAAGTACCGGTAGCGCTCAAGATCCCGAAACCCTCGACCGAAGAGCCTCCGCTTGCCACGCCAAGAACACCGGCGACAGGCCCCCACCACGAGCGACAGCAGAGACCGCGGCGGGAGAGGCGAGGGACACGCACCGCCGCGGGGCCGCAAACCGATCGCTAGGGCAGAGTCCATCGCCGTCAGCATCTTCTCCTTTTTCCTCTTCCACCTTCCTGAAGAGCCTCCACCGGATATCTGCAACGATTTAGAATGGGTGGCCGAGCCGCGCCGGGGGAACGGGGCAGGGCTAAGACGCACGCGAGGGATGTACGAGTGACGTTCGCACGCGCTTTGGACCGCTGGACCCGGGTATAATTAGAAGGCCCGATTGGTCTCCCGAAGTGGGGTAAAACGTGAGGTTGGTAAACCGGTGCTCGGATACTAAATCGCTCCCATCGATACACGCCTTGCAGAAGCTTCTCTTGATTGGAGTAACCGATTGCAGCTTATCTACATGCGTTACCAGATTGGCAGGTCCAATTCATTGTCGGGATGCAAAAGGATCGAGTTCTGATTCCCTCCTTCCGAAGGGGGTGACGTTGGAGGAATTTGAGTTATGATATCTTCAAAGTCGATTGCATAGTCAAAGTTATGAATGCCACTATCAAGTTCGAGCTTGACACGAAAGCGCGATTCGATCGAGATATCGAGGAGCCGAATTGAAAGAAAATGATCGATACGAAAATGATGCGCTGAGATGGAACTCCTAAGCTCTGCAAGTGACACTGATGTACTTATGAAATATTCGTTGACGTGGTTGATCTAGCACAACGATCATCGACATAACTAATCTGACATAATAATCATCAATGTAGACGATCTGGTGCAACGATACCAATTTTATATAATGATAAATAAATTTTATGAATTTTGATAAATTGTGATGATAATCGCATGTCAATACGAGAGAGGGGATGACACCATTATCTTCACATGACTCTTCTAGACAAGTTAGGATGTTGTTGTACAATTTTATATTGTGGCTGAAGGATCAGTATGGATCTTCAGGATGTGAAAGGTCGTTCATGTGGATCTTCGGGAAAAATGGAGGCTGAGAAGGTGAGGTCAATCGTCAATCGAGCCTTGGGACTGTCTCGTGGAGCGACTCGATTGACCTAATCTCTAAAGGGTTTCTACGAGACAGATCGACATTGGGAGGGAGATTTTCGACTCGACCTCTCCGATGGTTAAGTTAGCAAGTTGTTTATAGTGTAAAAGTTCGACCTCTTGTTTTGAGCTAGGGTTCAAAATTTATTCTTGCGGAGGCGACTCGGAAGTATATGGGCCATTAATGTCTGTCGTCATTCTCATTCGGCATGGTCGAACGAGCGGGTGACCTGCTTGTGCAGCACTGACCCGTACGGTTTTGAACGGTGATGGGTCGGTCGTGCGTTATCTACTTTATTCCCTACGGGACACATGTCGGGTCGTCCCACATCGGATCCTCGATGGCTACCAACTATTGCTTCGTGGCTAGTGCAGGAGTATCCACTATCATTCGTCCCCACCTGAATGTGTACTTGAGGGGCCTCGCAGAGGGGCCCGATGTATGTCATCAAGCATTTTCATTAGTCGGGGACCTTGCTTCTCAATTGCCCATGTGATGCCCTTCGAAGCGAATGGCTCGGGTCGGGCCCCATTAGGTAGTGCCCCATATTTGCATATGTGAGTTCATCGCTCGTGGTCCTTGCATTTCGACCTCCATCTTCCTAACACGGTTTTCCTGGGCTCTCTTTTCCTAACCTATGCATCTCGAGGTGTCCTCTTTTGGATTTGTCATGGTGGGACATCTTTTTCCGATCCATATTTCTTGGGCACAATTATTTCTAGCCCCTCGCTGTGATGAGCATTCTTCTTTTTTCGAGCTACATGACTCAAGCACATCTTTTGCTAGCTCTGTCGTTGAGGGCCTTCTTATTTTTCCTAAGATATATGACTTGAGCATATATCTTAGGAAAAATATATACTCAAGTCTTGGTGGCCCCCCAACAATTACATCTGTCTACTTCTCGAGGGGACCATGAGAGCACTAGGAGGGCTCCCGGGGCTTATAAAGTTATCGCCCCAGGTGCCCCCTCCGAGTAAGCCCTTCGATCCGATACTTTAAATCCCATCACTTCTCATGGTCGTAATCTTGGTGGAAACGACACGAGCTAATCATGGAGCGATAGTTGGTAGCCATTAAGGATCTGATGTGGGATGACCCAACATATGTCCCATAAGGAATGAAGCAAATCACATGCGATTGACTCAATGTTGTTCGGAACCGTATGGGTCGACACCGCACAACGAAGCTTAGGACGGGTCGACATGTGCTGTTAGGAGCATACAGGTCGCCCACTCATTTGATTGTGCCAAATAAGAACAACAGCAGGTATTAACGACCCACGTACTTCTAAACCACCTTCATATGTATATATTCCAAACTCCAACCCAGAACGAGGGGGTTGAACTTTTATACTACAGATCATTTGCTAACTTAATTATCGGAGGGATCGAGTCAAGAATCTCCTTCTTGACATTGATCCGTTTTGCAAGAACCCTTAAGAGATAAGGTAGATCGAGTCACTCTAAGGGACAATCCTAAAGTTAACATAAAGAAGCTCGAGACATGATCCATGGGTGACCTCACCTTCTCGACCTCCTTTTTCCCAAAGACGCATGTGGACGACTTTGTATATTTGGATGGGGCCAAATCGTATTGACCCTTCGGTCACAGCATAAAACTGTATAATATTTTTGGCATTAGATGGATGATCATGAGCTCTTGGTTCTCAAAGCGAAAGGGAGAGCACTGATAAAATTATTTAATCTCATATTGATTAAGGAATAGGAAAACTAAGGGCTCGTAAGTCCGTTAGATCTCTCTTACTCTCATAAACGTATTTTAGAATTCACAAGCTTCGAAAAAGTAAAACAATAATTGAGTAAATTGATTATCCAAAGTAAATAAATTCCTCGGGAGTCTATAACCAAATCTTATCTTAAAAATATCAAACTTATACTATGGTGTTACAAGATGATAATATTCTTTTTTTTTATGTTCTCATGATTACTCTGTACGACTTCTGGAGTCCCCCGGAACACACAACACAATAACAAATGTATGAAATCTAAAAAATAAAATTTACGATTACATGATAAAATACTAGCTGCATTTATCTTGAAATTAGTGCCATAAAGTTCATTTTGACACAATTTGTTGTTATCATTGTTATTAGTAATAACTTTGTCAACGCCAATATAGGATGCCACGTCTCGAAAAGAGGCTCAACCACATCCCTATATGTGACTTAAATTTGCTCGGACTGATAAATATTTAAAAAATTTTAAAATCGTTATCCCAATCGGATAAATAATTTTATAAAAAAAATCCTCAAGTAAATCTTAATAATCATGACTTGATTATTTTATAAATATCATATGTATATCTAGATTTTGATGATCGAAAAATAAAATATAAAAAAATATTCTAAAATTTATATGAGAGAGTATATCAAAGGATTAGTATTGTAATCGATCATACATGATAAAAAATTTAATTTTTTTCGTAAATATAGATGAAAGTTATAAAATTAAGTTAAATTTTACATCGACATTTGATATATTTTGATCTTTTTATATATATTTTTTTATTTTTTAATTCTCCTCTCTCTCACCCAACAAAACCGTCATCGATATCACTGACACCTTTAACAATGCTCTAACATTATGTTACTGTCCTCATCTATCAGCAGCATCAAGCAAGTTTCATGGACAACGAAGCACCCCAACTTTAACTACTAAGATAAAGTAAGTCCTTGCCATCACCATTACTTATCTGATCACCAGCCTTTTCACCATGTCCAAATCTTAAGCTGGATAGAGAATATGGTGAGTTGGAACCAAAAGAGGTACGACAGAGACAGCCTTTCAGGGAGACACAGTAAGCCAGCTTTTCTTATGCAGATAGTGCTGATGGAAAACTGGCTCCTTGGCAGCTTTGCAGGTCTCAAAATGATGAGAACTTGATGGCAGAGAGACCGGGAGAAAGGATTCCAGGTGCCATGTTGATGATGCTACAAGTATTGAGGGGCGTGTGAGTGATTGGGTAGAAATATCTATCAAGTCTGATATGTCGTTTGAAGTTTTTGTTGAATATGAATCATAATGATTTGTTTATTTTTTATTTTCTCTACTAAATTATGTATTGATTATTTGATAAATAAAAATAAATTTTTTTAGTTAATGATATAATTATTATTTTTAATTAATCGAAACTCGACATATGAAATAGAAGATGTCATATTGGCCTTCGAAGATGACAAAGGAGTCTATTAGACATATTATATTAATAAAATATTTTTTATAAAAAATATTCTTTTTAAAATTTATTTGTTATTGTGCTCATAAGAGGAAAAAGTCTATCCTATCCTCTAAATTTATCTCTTATAAATATGTCAAATTATAATATTAATTGTAAGCATCATTTCTCAAAAGCTTTTGGATCTTTCAACAAACATTGTGGAAATTGCAGTGCTGTATTCACTGATATGCATTTGGATCTCCCATTGTTACTTGATAATGGCTAACACTATGCAGTGCTGTAGTCTATGATCTTCCATTGAGTTCAACCGTATAACACCACCAAAACATATTTAAATGCTTCCATTCACTTCTGACCAACTCACTGTTCCAACGTTATATCACATCACATCGATAGACAACAGCAGCAGCTGCAATAAGTACAAAAATAGACCCCCAGTTGACGCTAAAGCTTCTGCATGCAGTGCAGTCCTCCTCCTCACTCCATCACCGTTGCATCCTCTCAGGCAACGCTGTTGATTCCCATACATCCCGACCACAGCTTCCTTAACGACCGCTTCTGCAAACGATCACATCAACACCCAAAAATTGAACTGTGGTTGTATCGATGCTGGTATAAGTGGAAGAACAGGAGCAGGAGATACCCGCTTGGGCTTTTGGTAGAGGAGCTCAGGTGGGATCTTGTACAGGTCTTCATCCACAGCCTTGAGAGCTCGAGGCCTCCTTGGGGTGGTTTGGAGCTTCATGTCACTGACCTTGACTAGCTTCCTCTGCTGCTCTTTGCCATGCTGCTGCTTCTCTCCTCCTGCATTACCGACCTTTTTGATCACCTACAGCAAGATAGATGTAAGCCATGAGATGTAGTTGAAGGTTTCCGGATTAGAGGATGAGATCAGTAGTAATGATGACCTTTCTGTGGTAAAAGAGATCGCTATCTTCGCCAAAATAATGGCCTCGGATCACTCCAGCCTGCACTGCTGACTCGAAGTAATGGGCGGAAAGGAGCTCGTCACAGTAATCCCAGTATCCAAAAGACGGAAGTGGATGCCTCTTCATCGTGCCCTACAACCGGAACGAACCACAAACATCAACCATGCACTAAAGCCACTGTGCGGTGGTGAAGGAAATGCGAAGGGGTTTGGTGCATATATGAAGAACCAGCGTCTGTAGCAATGGGTGCAGTAATGGTGGAAGGAGGGGTCATTATCGCAAGGACGAGGACAAGGGGAGAAGCGCCATGGCCTTCTTTATTAGGGGTACATGTGGCCTGCCCTCAGCCTACGAAACTTGCCCATCGCCACCCCAAAAAAGACCCGCTCTTTTCCCGCGCCCCAAGGCCAACAATAATGGTTTATCTTCTTCCTCCGTACACATAAATTATATATATATATTAGAATATTAAATAAAAATATATAATTAGATAAAATTTTAGTTTATGAGACTTAGTTAAGATAAAAAATATTATAATTAAAATTAGAATTTTAAATTTGTCATGAATTATTTTATAGATAATTAAGAGAAGAGATGAGACAAAGGGAAAGAAAGATCGATAAATTAGAATATTTAGTATTGAAGTATCTTCTCTGTTCTCGGAGTATGTGCACAAATAATATCTTAAAATGCGTTCAGGAAAAGTCGTTTGCCACACGAGGAGAGTCCAAAAGCTTTGGGTAGTGATCAATCTTGCTTGGACCGGTCTCCTTGGCATATAGTCAAACATCATCAGGTCACTTTCAACTTACCAACACATCAAGATGGAAATGAGACTCGTCCTCGGGTGAACACACGCCACAGCTGATAAAGTTTTACGCACAAGGTTTGACTATTTGGGAGGGGGGGAGATATTGAGAATCTTGATATCAAGAAAGGCCACAAAGCAGTTGGATAACAGCGTTGAATTTTATTTAAGATCGAAACAGCTGATGTTAAACGAACAATGCAATTATTGACACGCAAAAGCAACATTAAAGACTTGCTGGTTCAGAACAACAAGCTTGTTTCGGTCTTTGTCGCCCGTCCCACTATGCGTTCATGATAGGGCAGCGCGAACCAGAGGCTAAGATGCTCTCCAGTGGCCCACCTTTCAGGAAGCCCGCGAGAAAGTCTCCACGCTCGTAGAAGAACTCCACCTTCTCCACCCTCATCCCGTCATCCACCTACCAAACAGTAACAGTCAGCATCTTCAAACAGTAGACCACAGAAAACATTGAAGCAGCAGAGAGAGAGAGAGAGAGAGAGAGAGAGAGATATTACGTGAAAGATTCCGGTTCCAATGAACTGGACCACCTCGCCGGTGGGGGCGTGGCCGTGGAACGGGCCTTCCATGTAGCCCCAGTGGCGGAACTTGTACACGATTACAGGCGGGCCGCTAAGGACTTGGAGGATCTCCACAGCGAAGCCACGAGGAAACGTGGTGGCGAACTCCTTCCCAGACGACTCCGCCGTCTCCACCGACGGGTCGTAGATCCGAAGCTCTGGAGGCAGGCTGGTCTGCAGGAAGGCGTTGTAGCTTCCTCCCATGTCCCGGATTTGTTGTACAGTGAGTCCTTCCTTTCCTGCATGCAATTAACACTACTTCACATGCTTTGTTCGGATCAAAGTAGTCACTTCAGCTACTGGCGGAGTGAAGAATCACCATTAAGGCTGAGCCGAAACTTCTGTGGATTGATGGACTTGTAGTCCTCCGGCCGCACCTTGTGGACCAACTCCATTTCCCATGTCTTCACCAGCCGCTGCACCCTCTCTTCCAGCGAACCCACCGGCCACACCTACCATGTATCCATCCCCAGAGATGAGAGGCCTAAGGCAAGAGCAGGCGAAGAAAGAGGCGATGGTTTTACCTGCGTTCGACCTTCTTCGAAAAGCTTGTTGACGACATCATAGTTCGGAGGAGCTCCGAACCTCCACACGGTGTCCTTTTCACCCTCGCCATACATGAAATCCCGGTACTTGTCTCCTTGTTCAGCTGAACTCGCCATTGTTATCCGATCTGTGCATCAGGATTGGCCAGCATCCAGGACATTTATAGTCGCAATCCAAGGTTTGGATGAGTATTGCGTCAGTATGAGTAAGACAGGTTCCGTTGTTAGATCGAACACCCCAGTCGTAGCTCAAGGAAGTTGCTCGGCAAGATCCAGCTATTCCATGTGACAAATAGGAGCCAATAGATTCGAAAGACGACAAGTGTGACAAACTTCTCAACCTAACAACTTTGGATCATTCTGAGACGAGAACTGTGCTCGTCATCTTCCACCCATTCACCATGTGATTCTAAGATAAACAAATCGATAGAGTGATGCACGAGAAGCTGACTCGATCTACGATATGGAACCATTAAAAAATAATTAATTAATGGACGTTCATTTTGTGATCTTGCGATTGGTAGATCGAGTGGCATGGTGTAACTAGTTGGTTTCATCTATGCTCTGGAACGATTACTGGATCATCCTATTATCTTCTCCATTCAAACAGAGGTCCCATCAAATGTCTCGAAAGCTAACCTATGTCGGGGAATGCATGAATGCTAACACTCGATCCCCTTAGATCCTCACAAAGTGGACTTGTCGAGGTAATTACGTGCACGAATGAATCTATGAACCAAGACAGAAGTCGACTTTGCCGACAAGCCAAAAACACGCAATCTAAGTTCTAGATGTTTTCTTCTTTGAACCAAAAAAACAGTAGGATGAGTTTAAACCAAATCGATTAGGGATAACATACATTAGATCTGCTATCGATCTAATTCAAAATTTTAAACTTATAAATATGCGAGCCAATCCAATTTTATCAATGTAAGATTATTCTCCTAATTCTCTTTTCATCTCTATTATATATATATATATATATATATATATATATAATAA